AGGAATTTTATGCGCCTTTAAAATGCCGCAATTAAAAGAATTGTCCAGGCAGGAGGATGGCTTCTTTAAAAAAAAACAATCATCTTCCGAAAAAAAAACAACAATTAAGATGATTCATAATAAAAAAAACAAGAATTTTGTTTTATATAAACCAAGTTTATTCCACCCTTCCCCATTCAAACATTTCAAAAATACGAGTTAGTCGAGTTATAAACAATGACATATAACAATACCTAGACTTACGACGCATTCATAATAAGACATTTGAAAGCGTTCGTTGAACGCAAATCAGCTGGACCCGCCATTTAACCCATATGGTATATTCTCATGATAAAAAAATCTACTATTCAAATCGATAACTTGCTTCCTTATCATCTCGATGATCAGGGCATTTCTTCAATTAAAGTTAGCGTCAGAACATAGAAATAAATTGGCCTCTCGTTCAAAAATTTTTTCAATAACGATATGGGTAACCTAAAATGACGTCCCCAGCTGTTTTTCAAGTAATGCACAGTCATTGGTTAAAAATTAAATTATTAAATTATTAGTTCTCACTTATCCATCCATATTCATTGACCAGATTTTGAATTTAAAATTAATAAAAATTATTTTTAAAAAAACATACGAATTCACTATTATGGAATTAAGGAAAAAAAAAGGAACATGTTAATTTGTTTTTTTAATGTGGCATAACCTATTTAAAAAAAACATCTAATTGTTTTATTTTAATGTCTATAACGAGATCAAAATTTAAAGCGTGAATAAACTCTTTTTATTTATTAATAAAAAACAAAGTCATTACTGCGTATATTTCTTTTCTTTTTTTTTCGCGAAATAATCCCGAATCGAACCTCGACAATCCCAGTTCAAATTAAATGAGGGTTATTAATTAAATAAGTGAATATTTTCGCTATTTTTCTTTTATTTTCTTTTCTTTTCTTTTCTTTTCTTTTCTTTTCTTTTCTTTTATTTATATTTTTAATTTTTTTAAAAAAAAATAATTAACATTTTTATTATTATTTAACCTATCTTTACCTCTTTTTTTTTTATCAGATACTAAAAAATAAAATAATACAAATATTACGATTTCGTTCCATATATTATAATTGATATTTGATATTTATAATTTATATTTATATTTTAATTATAATAATAATTATATAATCATAAAATCATAAATCGTACATGATTATAATTTCCCTCATCATCATTTTGGAAAGAAAGAAAGAAAGAAAGAAAGAAAGAAAGAAAGAAAGAAAGAAAGAAAGAAAGAAAGAAAGAAAGAAAGAAAGAAAGAAAGAAAGAAAGAAAGAAAGAAAGAAAGAAAGAAAGAAAGAAAGAAAGAAAGAAAGAAAGAAAGAAAGAAAGAAAGAAAGAAAGAAAGAAAGAAAGAAAGAAAAGAAAGAGAAAGAAAGACAGACAGAAAGAAAGAAAGTTAAAATTCAACAGTTAAGATAAATTTAAATAAATACGAATAATTTCGAATAATTTGATCGAATAAAAAATTATTCGACTAATACATTTTTCCTTATTCGTATCCGATTTGGAATATTCGTTAAAAATACAAATCGAATAACGAATAATTGATAAATGTTGATTATCACAGAGGCAACGGCAACAAAGGTTATTCAAAAAGTATCTCGATACGCTTAAAGTTACTCTATAAAAAAATAGTATCGTCATTACATTCAACCTTTCTCCTATTCTATTCTATTCTTTTCTTTTATTCGTTAAATATTTTATCATTTATGCTTATTTTTAAAAACGACTAACTCAACAATTCATCCAGAAAAATATTACGCAGACCTGAAGATTTTGCTGATAGAGAGGAACAAAGGTTCTAGACATATATTATGGAAATCACGAGGCTTAGGCAATATTTTTCAGGCTAAAATATTGAGTCAGCCGGTTTAAAAATTCGGTTCTAACCGAGCCGCTTAACAACACTACAACTTTCTTTCCTTTCTTATATCAGCAACTTTGTGCCGGGGTAAAAATTTTTTTAAAAAACCTGATAGGTTTATTTTTTGTGTATATTATTGTTTCGGTGGAGGAAAAATTTGACAAGAGCAAATGAACGAAAAACAATATATTTTTTATGGGTTTGACTGAAACTGCTAATAGCTTAAGTTAAAAAAAATTTTTTATATGATAATATACTCGATTAATTAAGGTGAATCTCGTTTTCTTTACGTGATAATAAATATATGATATAAAAAAAAAATTAAATTATTAGATGTATTCAATAAATTAAGGAATATATATATGTGCCATATTGGGATTCGGAATCTCTAAGATTATAAATCATCTACCGAGGGCGATTAAAGAAAAAAATTTTATTCCGATTTAACCGGAAATGTATTCTAGCATGAGTAAAGTTTTTTACACACTATAAATTTCAGCCAATTTTGCCATGAACTTTAGAAACTACTTCTAATTCGTATTAATTTTTTATATGGATTTTGCATACAAATCCAAAAAAAATACTGAAATGTATATGGGTGAAATTAGCTAAATTTATAGGGTAAATACTCTAAACACAAGCTAGAATACATTTTCGGTTAAATCGAATTTTTAAATTTTTTTAAATCTTCCTCGGTAAAGGATTTAAATACAAGAGATTCCGAATCCCCATTACGACATGTATATTAATATTTTGTTATTTCTTTTTTTTTATCTCATTAAATTCCTTTATTAAAATAATTACAATTACAATTTTAAATTACATTAATAATTAAATCCTCAAAAAGTTGGCCTATTATTATTTGAGAAAAAAAAATTTAAAAAAAAATAATACGGGTTCTAGGAAGTGTCTGAGGTAGTGATGTTAAACGGCTCGTTTTGAGCCGATTTTTTAAAACGGCTTGCTCAATATTTTTAGACAGAAAAATATTGCCTAAACCTCGAGATTTCGATAACATGTGTCTAGACCTTTGTTCCTTCTATAAGCAAAATCTTCAGGCTTGCGTAAGATTTTTCTGGATGCTTTTTTAAAAATAGGCTCAAAACGAGCCTTAGCACTAGTCTGAGGTTCGAAATATTATTTTTTTTGTAACGGAGTATCGAATATGGATATAATTATTAAATTTTCCCCAAAAAAATATCCTTGTGACAAAATGACACATTTTTTTCTTTCTTCCTCTTAATTCGGAAAACACTTATTAAGGCAAATATTTGGAGAGGATTGGCCTAAGCGACAGCTGGCGCTACTTTCCGTGTTTATCGAAAACCGAAGAATTTAATAGAGAGTATCTGTTTTTGTCACAGAAAGGATAGTCAAACATGCCCCGAACATTGGGTTCTTTTATTTTCCGATGTTGAATGAATATTGGTTAGTTTGTGCCTTTAAGAATAAACAATTCACATACATGATAATAGGTGGGGGGGGGGGGGAGGTGATAAACAATTAAAATTCAAGGTAGAAATTTTCTTCCTGTAGGTTTACACTATCTTTATTTCGTTAAAGTGCCACTCCAAGTTTAATTTCGGTGATATTGCAGTGATGCGCTTTACCCGAAGTTGGCCTCGCAAAGGCTCAATGTCTATCAAATTATTACTTAGTCATTTGATAAAAAAAAAAATTAAAACTTTAATATTGAATCAATTTTTCGGAATTCTAAATTATAGGGGGTGGGAACAAATGTTCCTCAAGATAATTCGGGGGGTGGGGGGTCGGTATTTTCGGAGGGTAAAGAGCGACTTCCGTCCTTCTCCCCCCCCCTCATTTAGTCATGCCACTAAAGAGAGGTATTTTACCATGTTTTGATGCTCCTAGAGGGACATTTTAACTAGCTTTAAATGAAAATTCGGTTGAAGATGAAAGCTATTCAAATCAAATAATTTATGGAATCATGATTGACGTGTGTATTTCATTTGTTTCTTTCTTTAAATTTACGAACTCATATTTAATATTTTTAAACTGGGAGGTCGGTTGAAGATTTAAGGTTAAAGGTCAATCACTAAAATCAAATCAAGAGTATACTCAGCTGTCCCGCTAAATTTTTTCGGATCGTGATGAGGACCTATCAATCATTTGATCGAGCTCCTGGATAATACAGCTGATCAGATATAGGCAAAGATCCGATCCGCCCGAAGGCCCGGCCCGTGGCAATTTATACATAAAATTTAAGGTAGCTAACCTCGCAGTTTTCCTAAAATTTTTATATTCCAAGCGCGGGGAATTAAAATTTTGATATATATATATTATTTTTTTTGAATTACAAGCTAATATTTTGATATTAGGAAGGAAGGAAGGAAGGAAGGAAGGAAGGAAGGAAGGAAGGAAGGAAGGAAGGAAGGAAGGCTCAATGTGAAAATAAATTAACCAAATATGATCATTCATACGTATTTTTGAAATATTATTTAAACCTATAAAATATAATACGAATAATTTTTCGAGTAAAATTTAAATAAAGTTGGTTTATATGATATGATAATGATCCAATTACAAATGCGAAATAGATTTACTAAAACGTTTGTTGTTAGGAATAGATAACCGTAGATATAGAATAGTAAAGGTGTGAGCGAAACATTTTAAAAAAAACTTTAAACATATATACAAATTTATTAATTATTTGCTTATTAATTTTATTTGAAAACGGCTAACTCATTATTTCATCCAGAAAGATATTAGGCAAGCCTTAAAATTTTGCTAATAAAGGGAACAAAGGTCTAGACATATATTATCGAAATCTCCAGGGCTTAGGCAATATTTTTCTGGCTAATATAATTAAGTTAGCCGTTTTGAAAAAATCGGCTAAAAACGAGCCCATTAACAACACACTATGAAACAGTCAGAGGTTTTTCTAAGAATTTTTTAAAATAATATTTTAAATTATTTTAAAAAATTCGTTTTATTTTTATTTAGCATTAGTTTGCCAAATTTGGTTAATAATATTTACTTTTTTTATCGTTGAATATTTTAGCTTAAAATAGATATATCTCCTAAATAATATTTTAAAAATTCGTTTTTTTTTCTATTTAAATTTGGTATAAATACGATGAAATTTTATGGATATTTAAGTTTGGCTTTACTGATTCTATGTTTGATTATCGGAAATATTCAAGGTAAAAATCGATGTTTTTTTTATCTCTATATATATTCCTTTTTAATTTTCGTTTTATTTAATTGATTATATAGGATCTGCTTCAGAAACCGACTTTGTTCCAGCAGAAGGATCGCGATCTGGAAAAATCAGAGGTTTATATATCTTAATTTTTGATTTTCATATCTCCAAAAAACAAATAGAGTGTAGGGAAGAGAGAGAGAGAGAGTATAGATCAAAATTTTATATATATATTGGAAAACTAGTGTTGTTTAACAAAGGCGAGATTTGAGGACGATTTTTTAAAAAAACGGCTAACTTCAATATTTTATCCCAGAATAATATTACGCAAGGCCATAAATTTGGGCTCATAAGATGGCAACAAAGGTCTAGACATCACTTAGCAGAATCTCGAGACTTAGGCGATATTTTTCTGGCTAAAATATTGAGAACTATTTGATTTGTAAAATGCAGATAAAGACAGTTCTTTCTTTTCTTTTCTTTTCTTTTCTTTTCTTTTCTTTTCTTTTCTTTTCTTTTCTTTTTCTTTTCTTTTCTTTTTCTTTTCTTTTCTTTTCTTTTCTTTTCTTTTCTTTCTTTCTTTCTTTCTTTCTTTCTTTCTTTCTTTCTTTCTTTCTTTCTTTCTTTCTTTCTTTCTTTCTTTCTTTCTTTCTTTCTTTCTTTCTTTCTTTTTCTTTCTTATTTGGGTCATATCTTTGTTTTTTTTTAAATTATTTATTTGTTATAGGTAATTGTTGATTTAAACCCATCAATTTGGGGTCGATATTTTTAAAACGTCTGAATCATTGCCAATTGCCCTAAATCATAGGAATTCGCTTAATAGTGCCCAAAACCTTTGTGCCAGCTGTTACCCAAAAATATTCAGGCTTTGAAGTGATAATTTTTTTGGAGATAAAATATTGAGTTATGCCCGTTTTTCAAAAAATAGACTGAACTCAAATCGAATCGTTTAATCGGGTTTCTGTTTGTAAACTGTGTTATCAAAAAAAATTTCTATTTGAATAATTGTTTTTTTTACCTCAAATATAACTAGCAATTTTTTCTAAAAACATATAGGTAAACGACAAGATGAGGATTATCGTTTTAATGATTATGAAGATTATTATGTAGATGAACGTGTAAATAATCGTGAAGATGAATATGAAGATGAATATGATGATGAATATGAAGATGAATATGATGATGAATATGAAGATGAATATGATGATGATGATGAACATGAAGATGAATATGATCTTGATGATGATCCTGAAGATGAATATGAAGATCTTGAAGATGAATATGAAGATCCTGAAGATGAATATGAAGATGAATACAAAGATGATCCTGAAGATTATAATGATTATGAAAATATGTGAAATTCTCGAGAAAAAAATATACTGATTTTGCATTATTCATTATATCACAAAGAATTAATATTTTAATGAGATAATATTTAAATCTTAGTAAAAAAAAAAAAATTTTTGGGGGCAATATGATTTTATTAAGAAATTATTCAGAAAAAAAAACTTAATATTCTTTATAATTTGTAAAATTCGCTTATTCATCATATAATAAATATTTTTAAATCACGTGTTGATGCTCTCCTTAGATTGGTTAAAACGCCAATAGGCGCGATTTTTGAAGGTATGATAAATTGAAAGACATTTAAACTATATCCAATGAAAAGTTAGGGTTGTAGATGAAAAGCTCTTCAAATAATTTAAGGGATAATGATTGACGTGTATTTCATTTGTTTAGAAAAAATTTGAATTTAGATACGCGACTGGGAGTTAGGCTGAAGATTTAAGATCAAAAATCAATCATTAAAATTAAAAGCGTATAATCAGCTGTCCCGCTAACATTTATCGGATCTTAATGAGGACCTAAATTCACTCATTCGATCGAGCTCCTGAGTATTACATCCCTGATCGTGCATGTAGATGCTGCCAATCAGAGATGTGCAAAGACCCACTAGAGTTACTAGGAGGGGTTGCGCAGAGACTCGAGCCCCCAGAAAAATTTGAATAGCTCTCTGAAGCAAAAAAATTTTGTTTTTCTTCTGGCTCTCCCTAAAAAATAATTTTTTTTGATAGCCCCCTAAAAAATTTGTTTTATAATTCTATTAAGTATTATATATATATATATTTGATTTTATCGCCGGGGTGGCCTTATGGGTTATGTAAACAGAATGAATCAGGTTCAATCCTGGTAAGGAGCATGAAAAATTTCAGGTTTTTCTTCGATGACTGATGTGTAGAGATAAATGATAAGATAAATTTCGGAGCTTAGAGATGACACCCCGGTCACCAACAGGCTTGGACACCGGGTGCTAAGGATACTTGTCCAATAAACAAAATGAAGGAAACAAACAGAAATAGGGGCGTTCCCTCCAAGCGACGCGCAGGGTGTAGGCCTCCATCCTGTGAAAAGTAAAATAAAGGTCAAAGCAAGAAGACAAGGTTATCAAGTTTAAATATTGGTACACTTAATGGTAAGACGAGAGAATTGGCATCAATGTTGAACAAGAGAAAAGTTGATATAGAGAGACGAGATGGAAAGGTCAGAAGACTTTAATAATTGGAGATGGGTATAAATTGTACTATAATTGAATTCTTAGCAATAGGAACGGTGTCGGTATTATCCTCAGTCAAGAACTAACCTCCTCAGTCGTAGAAGTTAATAAGATCTCTGATAGACTAATGAAGATAAAACTCTGCATTCGTCAATCAATACTACACATCCTTTCAGTATATGCTCCTAAAAGAGTTGCAAAGAAGAGGAGAAAAATGACTTTAGAGCTATCCTCGATGAAGCTGTAATGGAAATCCCTAAGGATGACCTATTCATAATAGGTGGTGACTTAAATGCACATGTGGGAAAAGCAAGAGATATCTATAAAAGGCATCATGGTAGTTTTGGATATGGAGAAAGAAATGATGAAGGAAAGCATGTACAAATTTGCGCAAGCCTTCGATCTTGCCTTAACCTACACCTACTATAGGAAAAAAGTATGAAGTGATACAAGGAAAACACAGATAGATTACATGCTAATCTCTCGCAAAAGATTAAAAGATGTAATAGACTGCAAAGTCATCCCAGGAGAAGATATAGCCGCGCAACACAAGCTACTAGTTATGGATTTACACATCACAAATAAATTCACTCAAAACAAGATAAAATTAGAGCCATGCATCAAATGGGGTAAATTAAAAACAATGACAGATGCCTTTGCAATCAATGCAAACATAAACAAGAGATTCCTCACAATGCAGTGGAAAAATTTGGACAGACCTTTCATCCAGATTAATAAACACTGCCAAATCAACACTAGGCTTGACAAGGAGAGGTAACAATCTTACAAAGAACTATGGTGGTGAAATGAAGAGGTAAAACCACTCTACAGGAGAAAGGCCTTTATAAAATATGGTACAAATCCAAAAACCCAGATGACTTGACAAGATACAAAAAATCCAAGAGAATAGCTACAAAGGCGGTGGCTTGGCAAATCTATGGCATACGAAGACATGTATGAAGTACTACATACCAAAGAAGGGCAAAATAAAATACACAGATTAACCAAACAGCGAGAAATAAATTCTAGGGATATAAACGGAGCTTGAAAGTAATCAAGAATAAAGATGGGAAATTGAAAATAAAGGAAAAAGAAATAATGAATAGATGGAAAGAATATTTTCAGGAGCTTCTCAACTTTAATCCCCACATACTACATTTAGATGAACACTCTCCATGTCAAAACCTTATATAGCCAATAACAGAACAAGAAATAATCACATGCCTCATGAAAAATAACAAAGCTGGGGTCCAGATGATATTCCAATAGAAAGCCTTAAAGCACTATGAGATGATGGAATACTTTCCTCACAAAGCTATACAACAAAATACTGGGAAATGAAGAGGATCCTCAAAAATGGCAGAGCTATCTAGTTCCAATCTTCAAAAATAATGGGCATCCACAAAATTGTCAAAATTACAGGGGCATGAAACCAATGTTACACTGTCTTAAACTCTACGAAATAATAATAGAAAAAAGGTTAAGAGATATAATCGAAAGGAGAGACTCAGTTTGGCTTTATACCTGGAAGATCAACAACTGACGCAATCCGCGCCATTAGGCAAATGAGTGAAATATTCAGGGAAAAGAACAAAAAGCTGCACATGGTCTTTCTCGATCTAGAAAAGGCCTTCGATAGAATCCCAAGAAAACTTATCTGGTGGGCGCTACGCCACAAAAAGGTTTCCAAAAAATACTTAAGAATAATACAGGAATGTGGGGGCCATATGACAATGGTCCGTAGCACAACAGATACTTCAGCAGGCTTCACAATAGACGAGGGAGTTCATCAAGGTTCGCCTCTCAGCCCAATTCTCTTATATACAGTAATAGATGTATTATCAGAGTCTATACCTTAAACAGTCCCTTGAAATATGATATTTGCAGATGATATTGTGATATTTGCCGAATCCAAGGATGAAATGAAAGAAAGATTAGTGAGTTGGATAAATATCCTAGAAAAGCATGGACTAAAAGTAAATAGAGAAAGAGTATATGGTGATAGGAGGAGATGAAACAGAAAAATGGCTGATATCGGCAATTGAAAGCTGCAAATATTTGCGCTATACAAACAAGCGGCACAATAGAGAAAGAGATAAAGAGGAGTAAAATTAATCAAGGGTGGTTAAAGTGGAGATCTTTATCTAGAGTGCTATTTGACAAAATATCCAACACAAATTAAAAGGAAAAATTTACAGTTCCATAGTACAACCAACTATTCTATATAGTTCGGAAACATGACCAACCAAGGAATCAGATGAGAGAAGTCTACAAACTAAGGAGATGAGAATTCTGAGGATGATTGCTGGGGTAACAAGAAGAGATATAGTGCTCAGTATAAGAATACTAAGTAGTTAAAAGGTAGTGCCCATTAAGACTAAGATAATGGTAAACAGACTTAGGTGGTATGGGCACACAATGCGAAGTCCATGAACTTACATAGGAAATAAGGTTGAGAGTTTGGAAGTGATGGGCAAACGTAAAAGTGGAAGGCCAACTCTTCAATTGGGACATAAAGCCAATATGAAGAAGTATAAATTAGATTTAAAAGATAGTATGAATAACATAAAGTGGAGAGAGATATTGAAGGAGCTTACCGCCAGAAAAGGTGAAAGCTAAAGAGAAAAAAAAATTTATTGTATCAAAGGATTAGAAATTTTTTAAAAAAAATTTCCAAGCAAATTCATATTACATAATTTTCCAATCGGTATACATAAAACTAGTGTTGTTAAAATACCCGATCTGGGTTCGATTTTTTCATAACGGCCCTATTAAGGTTTTAGTTAAAATAATATTATGCAAGTGATCTAGATTTGGCGAATAGATGTCCAAGCATTTCTGCCAGCTAAGAGCAAAATCTTTAGGCTTGCATAATGTTCTTTTGGTTGCTTTGCAATTTAATTTCAAGAATTTGGGCACACAGCCGCCCCTGATAACAGTAATGTTTGAGTTTTTGAAATTTATATATATATATATATATATATGTTTGATAAATTTTTTTTACAAAGTGCAGATTTTTTTTAATACCTAATATTTTTCATAATTTGTGTAAAAAAAAATGTTTCATGCTGGGCGGATCAGGGTATAGAGTTAAATCATCTTCATCCGAAGAAATAAGCACTCTATTGACAACATACTCTTTATTATAGAGAACCTAATAGAACATATCGCGGTTGATACAATTTTGATTATAGATTAATGTGGTGTTGTTTTATTTTAGGGGTCTCTTTTATCACCCCAAGACATATATAAAAAGTTTGTGATCCGTATAACCAAAATAAAATGTCTTCCACCATAAATATATAGATGAAACTTCTCGATAAGCGAACATGATCGCCAAAGCCTCCCGATCAATGGTGGCGTAATTCGCTTCCGCCTCCGAAAGTGTCCTCGATGGGTAAGCAATCGGTTTCTCCTGGCCAGTAAGAAATCGATGAGCAATCCTAAACCATCTTTGGAAGCGTCAGACACGATAGGAATATCGGCTGAATAAGGAACTGTTTTATCCTCTTTTTGATAATAACGAATATGTGATTACATTTAAAAAGGGAAAACTATGGTGGCTTATCTGAATTAAAAATTAGGGTTTTACTAAAAGGAACGACTTACTCGTTATCTTTTGGGGAGAAGTAACGAATGACGTTTCTTTTCCTCAAAAAAGTAAACGTTACTTTAACTGACATTACTTATGGAGAGTTTCATTTGTCATTAGTCCTCCTATTTCCAAAGTAGAAGAATGACTCGAAAGATGATTATATGTTTTTTTTCCTTGAACGGGTGATTTAATTATTAAAAATTGTAATGAAGTACACCACGACCGTCATTGAAAAGGGGTAACTTTTCCAAGATCAAGATCGGGAACAGATCATTAAATGCAGGATAAAATTTAGCCAATGTTTTATGTACGCTTCTGGGTTGTTACAAGTGTTGTTAAACGTCTCGTTTTGAGCAGATTTTTAAAAACAGCTAACTTAAAATTTCACCCAGAAAAAAAATTTTGCTCATAGAAGATACTAGTAATAATTATATTCCTAATAATAATTATAGACCTAGTATCAAACCTAACTCTATTCAAAAGAAAGTGATATGCTTTCGTTGAGCGAAAGATTGTAGAACCCATGCCATGCAAATGATTCTGCCACGGACACCTCGCCTGTCATTTTCAAATAAAGCAACCATCGATGCGAAGATAAATGGGTTGCAGCTAGCTATGGAGTTTGATACCGGCGCCGCGTGTAGTGTGATTGATGAGGTCACCTGGAATCGTATTGGCAGACCACAACTATCACCGGCTTATAAATTAGTGGGATATAATCATATCCAAATCGAAGTACTAGGTAAATGTATCGTAGAAGTCAAAGTAAAAAATATTTTGAAATTTTTACTTATTTGGGTAGTTAAAGGGGAGAATTCCCTTATTTTTGGGATGCCTTTCATTAGAGAATTTGATATAAAACTACCGGAAGAAGTTCGTATTAATAAAAAATCATTGGTATATTGATAATATAAATAATTAATTCGGAGATTGTAAAAAAATATATTTCGATTAAAGATAATATTTCGTTCAAAGAAGGATTATTATTTTATAATGAAAAGAATTATGCCACAATTGATCGGGAGGCTTCGGCGATCATGTTCGCTATCGAGAAGTTTCATCGATATATTTTTGGAAGACATTTTATCTTGGTTACTGATCATAAACCATTACAATATATTTTAGGTGATAAAAGAGATCTTAACAAAATAACAAATAACCGTTTAATACGGTGGGCGACGAAGCTATTAAATTATGATTATGAGATAATATCCCATCCTCGTCGCCAATAAAGTGTTTTATTAAATAAGTAAAATAAGTAAAGTAAGTAAAAGTATCTTTAATACAAAATATCACGTATATATATATATAATGAATTCAATCCTTCAGGTTATGTAATTTACAAACGAAAAGTTAATATTATATTCAATTTAAATTCAAGGGGTTACGAAACTCTTTTTTCGAGAGTTGTATTCTCCATGTTCTGCCTTTTCCACTTCTTCGGTCAACGTAACGGGTATTTCCTTCTCTTGTTATGTGCATCCCTCAATTGATCTGCATGCTTGTTTTTAACGATCCCCTCTGATTCCACATCGTACAATATTGCGCTTTTTCGTTGTAACCCTTTTCCTTCATGCCACCACCCTGCTGTCCTTTCGTTTGCTATCCAAACTTTTTGCTGCTCTTCAAACTCCCGAGGTTCAACACTTCTATCTTTGTAGTACTTTTGTTTCCATAGAGCGTTTTCCGTCCTTTCTCTCGTTGATAATTTCCACTGATCTAATGTCGTCCTAAACCTTCCAAACATCATCTCGGCAGGGGATTTACCAGTAGTTGGATTGGGAGTATTACGGTGAGTAATTAAAACATTCGCTAAATTTAACTGGTCCGGAGTCCCACATCTCCTTCCAGCATAGAAACGCGTCTTTATCGTCCGTATATATCGTTCAGCCAAACCATTCGATTTGGGGCTATAAGGGGCCAATCTAAAATGTTTTATATTGTTTTTAAAAAGAAACGTTTTGAATTCAGATCCAGTAAACTGAATACCGTTATCTGAGACAATGTAGCGAGGTAACCCAAATCTAGCGAAATAATTACGCAGATTATTTATTACACTCGTCGAATTAATATGTGTTAAAATTGTAACTTCAACCCATTTGGTAAAAGCGTCTACGCAAATTAACCAATACTTTCCAGATATTGGGCCTGTCAAATCAATGTGTACTCGTTCCCAAGGTCGGGTAAGAATGTTCCAATTGTATAATGGCACTTCTTTAGCTCCCGGCCTTCCTTCTTGACAACTCTTACAACATTTAGCAAAGTCTTCAACATCAGTATCGCGATTTGTCCAAAAAACGTAATATCTACACAATGATTTCATCCCCACTATCCCAGGATGTCCTCGATGAATCACATTTAAAACCTCCTTTTTAAAAATATCTGGAATAATAATTCTATCATTATAAAATAATAATCCTTCTTCGAACGAAATATTATCTTTAATCGAAATATATTTTTTTACAATCTCCGAATAATTATTTATATTATCAATATACCAATGATTTTTTATTAATTTAATAATCTCTTTTAGGTTTATATCATTGCTCGTTTCACTTACGACTTTACCTCGAGTGAACGATAAATCTTCTATTAAATTAATTTTTAATCCTCTGATTTCTTCTTCGAATTTTTTTGTAACTTCATTGGTTTTTGCTTTCTCTACCCCCAAACGGGACAGAGCATCGGCACATTTATTTTGATTACCTGGTCTATATATTATCTCATAATCATAATTTAATAGCTTCGTCGCCCACCGTATTAAACGGTTATTTGTTATTTTGTTAAGATCTCTTTTATCACCTAAAATATATTGTAATGGTTTATGATCAGTAACCACGATAAAATGTCTTCCAAAAATATATTGATGAAACTTCTCGATAGCGAACATGATCGCCGAAGCCTCCCGATCAATTGTGGCATAATTCTTTTCAGCCGCCGAAAGTGTCCTCGATGCGTATCGGTTTCTCCTGGCCAGTAAGAAATCGGTGTGCAATAACAGCTCCTAGACCATCTTCAGAAGCGTCACAAGAAATCACGACAGGGATATCGGCTGAATAAGGAATTATTGTATCTTCTTTCGACAATATATTTTTAACTTTAGTAAATATTTCATTTTCTTTAGCTGACCAAAACCAACCAACATTTTTACTCGTTAGTCGGTGTTAAGGCGCACAAATAGAATGCAAATTTTTAATAAATGCCTCATGATAATTTCACTATTCCAAGAAATGAACGTAGTTCTTTAACATTGGAAGGTGTTTTAAAATTTTTTATAGCGCTAATCTTATCTTCTATAGGGTGAATTCCGAAACTGTCAATAACATGACCTAAATAAGTGACTAACTTTTCTCCCATTTTAATTTTATCGGCCGAAATCTCCAGGCTTAGGCGATATTCTTCAAGCTAAAATATTGAAGAAAGAAAGAAACTCACGAGTTGTTTAACAACACTAGTTGTTACTGTCCTATATACCGCACCACGCGTTTTAGAATTCGTAACTCTAAAACGCGTGGTCCCCTCTTTTTGAGTGACATTTTATCATCAATTTTTCTTGGAATTTTCTTTCAGTCCTTAGAGATCAAGGTATCTGTTACAATTTGACCTCAAAACCCTAAATTGTTTAATATTTTTCTTCAAAAAAAAATGGTACCAGATGGATTTCCTTTTTGTTTGGCTTTGGCCCGACCCTCGCCCTGAATATTTCGAAATAACTGAAGCTGAGTTATAATAAGGATTGCTAATGTAGATTAAAACGATGCCGCCACTTCCGCGGGATGAAAAGAGTATGACCCAAGATCATCACATCGAAATTAAAAACGGAAAGGAAGTTTGTAGACGCTATCGTCGTTGGAATAAAGGAGAGAGGGGTAAATGGAATCTTTAGAGAGTAGAAGGCGGAAGGTATGCTAATTTATGAATTTTAATTTCCTCTTTTTTTTTTGCTTAAATAAGTAGGGGTAGGAAGGTATGGGGTAATAGGGACATTGACAGGGACATGTAATCTAGAAATGTGTACTATGGGGTAACTTAAGACCAATTTATGATAGTTTTGGAATGATTTTTTTTTTAATTAAATTTTCCCAAAATTCTTTTCAAGATTGACAAAAATGACATGTTTTTTTTTTCAAATTCATAATTTGGTAAACCTCATAATGGCAAATATTCGGAGAGGATTGGCCTAAGTGTCTACTACTCCCCTTCCCATGTTCATCAAGACTAAAGACTAACGATTCAAATAGAGAATACCTATTTTTTTATCAGATGGTACCTTTATTAAAGTGCCACTCCGTATATACTTTCGGGTGATAGTGTATAAGTGATCGGAAGCTGGAATATAGTCCATTTATTACACTTTTTTTCTCAATTTACTGATCATTTGTTAAAAATTAAAACTTTAATATTGAATCGAGTTCTATTAAGTAAGGGGGGGGGGGGGCAAGTCGGGCAAGTTTTCCGAACGCCATTTTTCATTTTTTCGGAAGCTGATATCCGATTAACGCTTATTTGGCGCTTGTTTATTTTTTTCAGGGGGATGTAAAAAAACCTCTTCATTTCAACCTTTAAAACCCCTTCAAATTCTTAATTTAATATAAAAATTCATACAAAAATGAGTAAACAAAAATTATACAAATTACATTGTGAAGATCCACCTTATTTCATAATATTCATCTTTTAGATCATTACGCGTCTGGCATCCATCTCTCCACACAAAAGACACAAAGGAATATTTGTTGTTCTTCACCAAAGCCCCATGTGATCACTCCTTTCCACTCCCATCCCCAAGGAAAAATTAATTATCATATCAAAAAATGACTGACATTTAGTATATTATATTAAACTTATTTCTTCTTTTTTTCTAACGGCTACAACAGGAGAGACAAATTTTATCTCTAACGTCAGAGAACTTTTCGAAGAATTTTCAAATAATATTATTTTGATTCTTAAAAACATTAGTTCGCAATTTTAAATATATAAAATTTATTTTTTTAAAATTTTTGTTAAATAATATTTACTTTGTGACGTTGAATATTTTTCGCTTAAGATAAGATACATATATTATATATATCTCCTCTTAAATTATTTTTAAAAATCTTACATAATATTTTTTTAAAGAAAATATTCATTTTATTTTACGTTTTATAATTTTGAATAAATACGATGAAATTTTATGTATATTTAAGTTTGGCTTTACTAATTCTCTGTTTGATTATCGGGAATATTCAAGGTAAAATCTATTATTTTATTATATTTTTTTTTATCTATATAAATATATTCTTTTAAATTTTCCTTTTATTTTATTATTATATAGGATCTGCTTCAGAAACCGATAATGACCCCACAGAAATTTTGCCACCGGGAAAAGTCAGAGGTGTATATGATTTTAATTTCTCAAAAAACAAATAAAATCTTTGAAGAGAGGGTATAGGATCAAAATTTATATAATTTGAAACACGTTTTATTTTTGTAAAATGCAGATAAAGACAGTTATTTCTTTATATAATTATATGGGTCAGGCCATTGTATATTTTCTTTAAAATTATTTATTTGTTATAAGGTATTGTTGATTTAAACCTATCGATATGAGGCGGATTTTTTTGAAAACGGCTAACTCGATATATTAGCCGGTTTCCTTATATCTCAAAAGTGCTCAAACCTTTGTGCCAGCTGCTAACAAAAAATCTTCATGCTAGAAGCAATATTATACTTTGGAGAATAAAATATTGAGTTTTGCCCGTTTTTTTAAAAAATAGGGAAATCGAACCGTTATATCAGGTTTCTGATTGGAGAACCGTATTATCAAAAAAAATTTTCTAGGGACGCAAGATTAATATAGTTTAAATATTTGTTCTAATTTTTTTTATAAAGGAACTATGGATGAAAGTCAAGATGTTTATTCTCAAGATAAGGATGGTGAAGATGAACGTGAAGATAATCGTGAAGATGATCGTGAAGGTATACATGATGAAGAACATGAGGGTTTTCAAGAAGATGATTATGAAGATGAAAATGAAGATGAAAATGAAGATGATAGTGACGGAAAATTTGATGAGTATTATGAGTAATGGAGGAAAAACTAATTTGAACATTATTCATTGAATCACAAAAAAAATAAATTATTATAAACATTTTTAGGGGGGGATAATATTTTAATTTTAATTTTTAAAAAAAAATAATTTTTGGGGCAAAATTTTGTGATTTTAGTTACGAAATTATTCGACAAAATAAAGGATTTGTAATATGTAATTTGTAATAAATTTGGATATTCAATTGTTATAATAAATATCTTTAAATATAATGGGTTTTATATTCTATCATTTATGTAACTTTAATAAGGTTTTGATATCATTCTCTATTAGTGGTTAGTTAGAAAAGAAATATCCTAAAAATTTGATTTTAAATTTGCGATAAAAAATATTTTATTTATAGGTGGAAAATAATTTTCAAAGAAATAAATAATTTGAACATAAATTGAATATAAATTCAAAAATTGGGTTTAAATATTCCTCTATTTTAAATGATATTATTTAATTTATTTTAAAATTTAATTATTCAAATTTGTTGATTATTCTTTCTCTTTTCTTTCTTTCTTTCTTTCTTTCTTTCTTTCTTTCTTTCTTTCTTTCTTTCTTTCTTTCTTTCTTTCTTTCTTTCTTTCTTTCTTTCTTTCTTTCTTTCTTTCTTTCTTTCTTTCTTTCTTTCTTTCTTTTCCTATTCGTTATTTTTTTTAAAAATTCCATTTAGTATTATATATATAAAAACCTTAAATTTTAAATACAACAAAGTGGAGTTCTATCTCTTTCGCCTATAACAATTTCTCCAAAAAAAAGCGCCAAAAAATTCCAAAGAACCAAAAATAAGCAAAATGTAATAATTAGCAAATTTAAAAGGTAAATGAAAGCCAAAAGGCTAAGCAAAAAAAGCGCCAAAAAATTCCAAAGAACCAAAAATAAGCAAAATGTAATAATTAGCAAATTTAAAAGGTAAATGAAAGCCAAAAGGCTAAGCAAAAAAAAGCGCCAAAAAATTCCAAAGAATCAAATTTAACGGAAAATTTATATATTATTATAATAAATGAGCAAGCAAATATATTGGCATAATTAGAAAATGTAATTTAAAAAAAAAAAAATTAGAAAATTTAACGGTAAATAAAGCAAAGATACTAACAAATTATAAAAAAAAAACAATACCCTTCCTCCTAAGAGCGCCAAAAAAATGCTAGAGGACTAAATTCTTTTTAAAACAAAAAAAAAAATACTCGAATTTTATAATAAGTAGGCATGTTAACAATAAATTAGAATATATGATAGGTAAAAATGACCAAAAATGACTAACAATACTATTAGAGAAATTCATCTATTTTTTTTTTTGATTCGCTAACCAAGGACGATAACTACTTGAAAATCTATCTAATAAATTGAATTCCTCTTATAACTAGCCATTTAGTATCGTTAAACGACCCGATTTAAAATCCCAAAAAAAAAACTTACTCAAGTGTATTAGAGATTTCATTAAGAGGATGTGTCCCAACCATTCTGTCATCTACGAGAAAGATCTCACAAGCCTGCATATCATTTTAGGCTAAAATATGGGGCCAGTCATTTTTAAAAATAATCGATCCGTTTAACAATAGCTAGCAGCCGTGATGTAATCGTATTTGGTTAATCGAAATAAATATATATATATACCTCAGCAGATTTTATTTTCCGGAAGATGATATCCGATTAAAACTTGTTGGGCACTTGTATTTCTTTTTTAGGGGAAATAAATATTTCTGGAACGAATTTCTCCCCTCCTACCTTCCCAAAAGGAGTCATGCATGCCACTGAAATATATAATTAAAAGACGGAAAATCAAAAAAAAAAATAATTTAGATATATATTTAGGTATGATTGGCAGGGCTTAATGACCCATGTATGGATATGCAGTTGGAACGATAGATTTCGATTGAAATTCCTTTTCGAAGGCAGAAGCCCTCTTTTGAATCTCACACATGGTTAAACATAAACAACCTATTGTTTTGAATATTTTTAGGGCTTGGAGTCCAAACGATCTACAGATGTTTGAGACACCTGAGCAAACATAACATTATTAAGTTGGCAATATTTGTTGGTTTTTGATTCTTCGCTTTCGTCATGGAATATTTTGATATTGATAAACATTAATGTAAGAAAATAAATTAACTAAATATGATCATTTCTTTGTATTTTGAAATATTTAAATCTATAAAATATAAAACAAATATTTTTCGAGTAAAATTTAAATAAAGTTAGTTTATATGATATGATAATGATCCAATTAGCGAAATAGATTTACTAAAACGTTTATTGTAGAAATAGATAATCGTAAATAGAGAAAAGTAAAAGTGTTGTTAGTGGAAAATTTAAAGGACCAAGGGTGAAACATTTTAAAAAAATTTAAACTTATACAAATTAATTCATTATTTGATAATTCATTTTTATTTGAACAAGTCGGAGAACTTTTCCAAGAATTTTTATATAATAATATTTTATTAATTTTAAAAATTGTATTTTTTAATAGCAATTAGTTTGCTATTTTAAATATTACAATTTATTTTATACTTTTTTGTATAATAATATTTGCTTTATGAAGTTGAATATTTCTAAAACTTTTTAAATAATTTAAAAATCGCAAAATAATATTTTTTTTTTAAATATCTTTAAAGATATTATAAAATTTCATAGATACCTAAGCTTGGCTCTATTGATTTAATGTTTGGTTATAAGAGAAGTATTCAAGGTTAAATCTATAAAATATTGTATTTTTTTCTATATTCTATTTTTATTTTCGGTTATTTTATTATCATAGGATATATAGCGGTTCGGTTCGGTTTTTTTGTCCGGTTTACGATTTATAACCGATCTTTTCGGGTTTATTCCGGTTTTTAAAATTAATCATAAAACCATATATTATAATCTTAGAGGGTTATTCTTTTTAATTTATATTTTTTAATTAATTTCTTATTTAATTTTAACTATGATAATTCTTCTAATAGACATCTTTTTTTATATTATACTTAGTAAATATAAATTAGACAAATTGACGCAAATACAAGGTGGAATAAAATAATAACGCATAAATATAATGAAATTTATGCTATTTTATATGTTTAAAAGAATTAGAAACGGATGACTAAAATTTTTTCTAATATTTCAGGATTTAATTTTAAGTTCCCTGCGCAGAAAGTATAAACTTAAGTCGAGAAAATGTTTTTTTTTCTATGGATACCTGCGTAGCTGGAACTGCACAGTTAGAGCTAACTTATAAAGTTCTGGCATATACAATTCCTCACATTTTCCCCAATAATATCAAAAGATTGTATCATTTTTCTAATCTCTCTCTCTCTATATATATTATCAAATGACCAAATTATATATTCTATATTCTATACATTTATTATAATTTTCTATGCCCTGAATATTATTCCTTATTAAGACATGCGACTTTATATAAATCTTTCAAAATCATCATCTAAATCCTTTCTAGAAATGTGAACACGTAGGCATAGTATCCAGTATTTCAATATTCAGATTATTTAAATCTTGTATAAAATTCCAAGTATTTAGAAAGATGTTTTTTGGCTATCTCCTTTTCTTCACCTTGAGTCGAGATATATTGCTGAGCAAAAAACGTCATTTTTCGGATTTATTTCTCGTGCTTTTATCGTTAGAAACTAAAAAGTCTGGCAAATGGACTGTTTACTTTCCGTGATACGTTAGATCCACGCGACATAAAAATCGTCTTTTGTCAAAATATAAGCTGTAATATATCGCTTTAGGATATTAAAATTAAAATTAATTATTTTTTCACACCATCTGGAACCAACCGGTTTAAAATATTTATAACAGTTAGGTTCGCTCTTTTTTTAATTTCTTTATAAAGGTTCAATTACGGTTACGGTTTATTCCGGGTTCAGTGGTTCGGTTTAGCTCGGTTCGAAAACGTCAATCAAGAGTTTATTGAAGAGCTCACATCTTCAACCGAACTGGTTGAAATGTCCTTCAATATGAAGCACATGATTCGATATCACAAAAATTATTGAAGAAAAACTTTCACGTTCAACAAATTGGCCATTACATCATTTTAAAAATGTCCTACCATATGATGAACCCTTATAAAATTAGGTTAATTTTATCTACCCCATGTTTTATAAAAGATTTTAAGGCAATCTGAGAGAGAAAAAAAATATATATTTTGAAGAACTTTTATGTAATAACGCTCATCTGCCAATCATTAGCCATTTAAAATTCCATTTTTTGTTTCTGGCAATTTGATTTATTTTTTGCTACTCACTATATTGGCACAATAGCTCTCTTTAGTGGCAGGATCACGTGGGGGGAGGGGGAGGGGAAGAGGGCGGAATTTGTTCCCCACCCTCCGGAAATATTTGTCTCCCCTAAAAAAAAACAAGTGCCAAATTCGTGTTGATCGGATATCAGCTTCCGGCAAAAAAATTTGCTCAGGTATATATATATATATCTATATCGATTAACAAAATATGATTACATCATGGGCTTTATAGTGTTGTCAAAAGGCACAATTCTTTTAAAAAAAATGGTTATACCTGTCTATATTTTAGGCGAAAAAGATATCCAAGCTTAGGAACACATCTATTAACAAAATCTCTAAGCTTGAAGAAATTGTTTTTGGATAAAATATTGTATTAGAACTAATTAAAGATCGGGCCACTCAACAATGGCTATTTATAAGAGCAATTAAATATTATTGGTTAGATTTTTTCTAGCAATTATCGCCTTTCGACAGCGAATCAAAAAAAAGGATATGTCGAAGATGAAAGCTCGTCAAATAAAATCTGGGATAATGATTGACGCGTGTATTTCATTTTCTTTATTCATTTTTTTTAAAAATTTACGAAACTCATTTTTAGATTTAAAAAAAAATAAATATTCGAATCTAGATATGAAACTGGGAGTTCGGTTGCAGATTTTAGGAATAAAAAAAATCAATCATTAAAGTTAAATTAAGAGTACTCAGCTGTCACTCTATATTTTTCGGATCTTAATGAGGACCTATCAATCAATTGATTGAGCTCCTGGGTAATTCCCTGATTGTACAATGTCGATGCTGCTGATTAGATATAAGCAAATATCCGGTCCGCCGGAAAGCCCGATCCGTTGCAATTTATAGGCCTCGCAAATCTCCCAGTTTTCCTAACCCGGGAATTAAGATTCTGATATATATATTTTTTTGAATTTCAAGCTAATTTTTTGATAGATTAATATACTAAATGCGAAAATAAATTACAAAATATGAATCATTTCATTTGTATTTTTGAAATATTTAAATCTATAAAAAGAAAGAATATGATAATATGATAATATAAGATCCAAATTACAAAATACGAAATCGATTTACTAAAAACATTTATTGCAAGAAATAAAATAACCAGAGATATAGATATTATTAGTTGCGATGGCCAGAAAATTCGGGAAAAAAAATCAATTTTAACGGGCCAGAAGGGCGTTATACAAATTTATTAATTTATTTAGGTTTATTTTTATTTTATTTGAACAGTTGGAGATTTTTAGATTTTTTTTTAAAAAATATTTTTATAATTATTTTAAGAATTTTAATTTATATATTGATTTTATTTAAATAATTATTTACCTGAAGTTAAATTTGAAAATATGATGAAATTTTATAGATATCTAAGTTTGGCTCTAATGATTTTATTGGTTATTGGAAATATTCAAGGTAAATCTATAAAATATTTTTGTTTTCTATATTCTTTTCTTTTCTATTTCCATTTTCATTTTCGTTTATTTCATTGTTAATATTTTTATAGGATCTGCTTTGAGATCAAAAATCGATTTGGATTTTTTAGACAATTCGCCTTCTAAAAAGAGCAGAGGTTTATATAATTGTTTATTTATTTAATTTTTGATATTTTATATTTTTAAAAAATAAATAGGGTCGGGATGAGAGAGGTAATGGTCAAAATTTTATATATTTGGTTACACGTTTTACTTTTGTAAAATGGAAAGAAAGAAAGAAAGAAAGAAAGAAAGAAAGAAAGAAAGAAAGAAAGAAAGAAAGAAAGAAAGAAAGAAAGAAAGAAAGAAAGAAAGAAAGAAAGAAAGAAAGAAAGAAAGAAAGAAAGAAAGAAAGAAAGAAAGAAAGAAAGAAAGAAAGAAAGAAAGAAAGAAAGAAAGAAAGAAAGAAAGAAAGAAAGAAAGAACCAATGACATATAATAATACCTACTAAGTGATGATGCATTTCATTAAAAGTGTACATTGATGAAAAACAGCTGGGAACGCCCATTTTGGTTACCTATATCATTACTAAAAAATTTAAACTATAGGGCCAATTCGTCTGACGCAAACTTTAATTAAAGGAATTGCCTGATTCATCGAAATAATAAGGAAGCGAGGTTATCAAATTTAAATAGTAGTTTTATAACATGAGAATTATATTACTATATGGGTTGCCATAATGGCGGCTCCAGCTGATTCGCATTCAACGACGCTTTCAAGCGCATTATTGAATGCATCGTCAGTCTAGGTATGGTCTTCATTTCAAAATTACTTATAGGTATTATGTTGTTGAACCGATCGATTTGAGGCCGATTTTTAAAAACAGCTGATACAATTATTTTTAGCCAGTTGTCCGAAATCTCAAGAATTCGCTAACAGTGTCCAAACCTTGTGCCAGCTACGACAAAAATTTTCAGGCTCGCGTTATATTTTATTTGAGATAAAACATTGAGTTAGCCCCCGTTTTCTAAAATTATGGGTTCAAATTGATAACGATACTAGTTAAAAGAAGATACATTTTCTATATTCCTTCGGGTAATTACAGAACCTTTGTATTCTACCTTCCCATGTATACTCAAATTATAAAATATATAAGGGAGGGGGAGGTATAATACCTAAGTCCCGCCACGTCATGATCTTTCCTTCCATTTCCTGTTTCAACCCTGAAGATAATTGTAATAATTTTTCCTTCTATTATTATTAGTTGGTATTGCACCTTTTAAATTTAGATACTCATGGGGAAAAAAATTAGAATCATTTTTTTTCACATAAGTAAGTTTCCTGGTTTTTGGGGTAGAATTCCATTACTGTTTTTAAAAAAAAAAAAAATTTTGGTGAATAAAAGCCTCTTATAAATTTAAAGGTTCGAACTAGCCCCGGTAATAAAATTATACTCGGTTCGAATGAATTTTTTATAAAGAGTGTCTCTGTTTGGATCTGTGTTCTCAAAAATTTATAGTTTATAAATATTTGGTTTTTTAAACCCCAAATACAATTATATTTGTTTGTATTTTTGTTATGATATATACGAAATGTCAATTATAAGCCATCTTTTAAAGTTAGATTTTTGTTAGATGGGAGAGAAATGATCACATGTTTGAGGAAGCTTTGTCTTCAGATATAATGTATATGTCAATTTTTACCAGATGGTTTGATGCTTTTGTTCATATAATTATGATTGTAAATATTAATATCATACATGGGAAATAAGGTTGTTTTTTTTATTATATGTATTCTTTTGTGTATTTTATAGTGATGTGTATTTTTATCAGAGACCCGGAGTGAACCGTAAAAAACCGTTAAAGCATTACAAACCGTTATAAATAACGGTAACCGTAACCGTAACCGTAACCGTAACCGACCCGATATAATTATTTTTTGAAGGAGTAAAAAGAACCTTTATAAAAAAAGGTTTAAACCGGTTTAAGTGGATCCGTTTTTATATTTTAGGGAATCAAAAAAATTTGAATGCACAGAATTATATAAACTTGCTTTTATTATACTGATGGTTCCCGCAACACAAGTTTCTGTAGAAAGAGCCTTTTCTGGGATAAAATTTGTGATATCGTTACCCCGAATAAATATGAATCCATTTAAATGAGAAAATATATTACTTATAATATATTTAAAAATGAGTTATTTTGAATCTTATATATATAATTCATAGATGCTTATAATAAAAATGAATTAGACGATGGTGTTGCTTCAATAAAAAAAAAAAATTTCTAACCAATGAACCTTTAATATTAGCTGAACCGAACTATTGTAAAAGATTTTTGAGAACCATAACCAAACGGGAACCATTATAATTTTTTACATACTGAACCGTTATAAATAACCGTTGGCATCCCTGATTTTTGTGTTTAAAATAAAGAAAAATTATATTAATAAAGTACATCATATAACAATAATATCTATTTTTTTTTACAGGACCTATGGGACAAAGTCAAGATGAGGATTTTCAAGTTAAAGAAAATGACGATGATGTTCAAGATAATTACGATTATGAAGATATGCTGAAATGATGGAGGGAAAAAATTTGCTAATTTTGTATTATTCATTATAGCAACAAAAACATTAATAATATTTACAATTTTAGTGGGGATAATATTTAAATTTTATAATTAAAAAAAAAAAAATTGGGGAGGTAAAAATTTTATGATTTTATTTACCAAATTATTCAAAAAAAACGTTATAATATACTTATAATTTGCAGAGTTGTTAGAGGATCAGATACTATCTAGATATAAAAATGTGGTATCTGTATCTAGATAGATTTTTGATTAAAATATCTGTAATCTAGATATTATTTTAGACGTTGTATCTAGCTTCAAAGAATAATCGAATCGCGGTTGGTCACGTGCTGACCTGTTTTCAAGGACATGAGAGATAATCAATGCGACAAATAAGAGCTTCTTTGTGTGTGGCACACTGTTGATTAAATGGCTGCTCACTTTGTAACTCAAAATTATAGTTATAACTCTCTCACATTACGGGTTCTAGAGTGAACTAAGGAAGAGATAGGAGTAGGAGCAACCATTATTGTCCAAGACTCGAGATTTCGCTATAAATAAATGTCCAAATCTTTTGTGCCATCCATGATTAAAATCTTCAGGCCTTTGCGTAATATTTTTTTGGGGTATAAAATGATTTTTTAAAAAAACGCCTAAAATTCGAGCCGTTTAACAAACACTAGTGCGGAAAGGTTGGCTATGATTTATAAAAAACTATGAAACATTTTTTTTTTTTTTTTTTTTAAAAACAGATAAAAAAAACACAAAAAAAAAGATCGAAAATATTTTTTTTCATCTTCTTTCATCCAAAATATATTTTTCTTCTACTTTTGTATTCGTCTCCTCCCATTTTGAAATATATAGTTTTTTATAAGAAAATGATTTTTATGGATGATTTAAATAGTGTTGCTATAAACTCCATATTTTAGCCAGTAAAATATTGCCTACGCCTTGGAGATTTCGTTAATAGATGTTCAAACCTTTGTGCCACCTACGAGCAAAATCTGCAGACCTTTGCGTATTTTTTTGGGTATAAAATGTTGAGTTGCCGTTCAACACTAGATTTAAATATGTAATTCTTTTTTCTATTTAAATTATCAAGGTTAGTAAATAACGGATACACACCGCAACCGCCATTGAAAAAAATGGCGATCATCTTCCAAGATCGGCACAAACAGATGATACAGTTCCACCAATGTTTCATGCATATATATATATGGATGGGTTGTTATGACCATTTATTCAAGGTCTCAAACAAAAAAATCTTGGCGCCTTTTCGAAAAATCTTTACGTAATAAATCTAAAGATGGGTCACTCATGGAATTTATTTTCTTTGTTTTTTTTTTTCAAAATTTGTTTTTGAGTCGGTTGTTTTTTTTTCAAGAAAATTAAGGTTTAATCTAACTAAATTTAGAATAAAATTTTGACTTTCATCCTTTTTTTTTGTTCCACGGGGGAATGAAAAGAAATGAATTTTGTAATTTAGAAAACTCTATAATTTCAGGAATGCGTTCTTCTCAAACTTTACAATCAAAAGTTGCTGACAAATATTCCATTAAATTTTTCGGGGATATATTTTTTCTAGCACATTTTTACAAATATACAGTTGCTCCTAGCCACCAAATCTCTTCTTTAGTACAGTGCGACCTTAACCTTACTATGGGTTAGGGTGCGGAAAAAAATTGTAATTCTATATTGATTCCAAAATCGTTGTCATAATTGTTGAAGGTTTAGAGTGTTTTTTTTAAGTATGTATTTTATATACATCGGTAACAGATTCCATTGAGAAGAACAAAGAAAATCCTTAAAATCCTATCAAATTTTATTCTAGAATATTCGCTGAAAAGAGACTATGTTACCGTTTTGAGCGGGATTACCACCCACCATCTACGAGTAACCATTCTTTGAATGCGATGATAAAAATTCTCATTCATATCATATAATAAATTAAGTATCTCTTTAAGTTTTAAAGTGGCCGGGGGCAAATTTGGCATTTCTTTGAGTTGATAGCAAAGCTGGGTACACTATGCTGTGTTTATACTCCCTTTATAGGATGATATGGATAGCTGTCGTGGCATAATTTGCCGCCAAATCATGATAAGTTTAAGACTTTGACGAAACGCGCAGATGTTACGCCTGCAAAAATGCGTTTTTTTATATACATCTTAAGGAATGCAAACTTGTCGAAACCAAATCTAAAAAAACAATAGTGGGATTTTTTTTATAAAAATATTACACCAAATTATTGTCTTTTCCACTCTACTGATTTTGTTGTATTAGAATATTTGAAATATGACTTTATGCCAAACATAACTAAAAAAAAATTTTTTTTGTATTGCCAAGGAACATTCCTAATTTTTAAAAATAATATTTACAAATGGAAAATTATGATTTCTGACTATGACCAAATTAAATTGGAGCAATGACATTCTAGCAAATTGTTTGACAGAAACATCAAAAATTACTAACCTGACCCAGGTGATCTTTATTGGTGGGGATATTCTTTTATTACTTTATTAGAGCGAAAGATCCTTGGGTAAGCACGAACTCTTAAGGGGACAGTGCTAGAAAACTGGTGCAGTTATTCATAGATGCCGTAAAGTATGATATTATCTTATATATATTTATATTAGGATTAAGGGGCATGCGACTAATATTTGAAGCTCGATAAATTCTTGGTACAAGAATGCTCGATCTAGACTAAAATGTTGTGTGCTTGTCATGTTCAACCATCATAAAAATTTTCAAGAAAATATCAAAGAAGGTAGGGTTAGAAACGAAGGTTATTTTGTAATAATGGAAATACAACATAAGCTATTTTATTAATTATTTAGGATAATTGGTTTTTTTAAAAAAATATTTGATCAGTTGGCGGCTTTTAAGATATTTATTTTTTCTATATTTTTTAATTAATTTTTTAGATTTTTTTTAGCGCAAATATATGTTTATTTTGCTATAGAATATTTTCACTATTTTTTTTTTGTTTAAATATAAAATTATCTTTAATAAAAAATATTTAAAAAAATCCATTTTTTTTTTTGATTTTGAAAATTATGATAAAATTTTACGGATACCTAAGCTTGGCTCTATGGTTTCTTCTATGTTTGATTATTGGAAATACTCGAGGCAAATTTATAAAAATTATTTTCGTTTTTCCTATTTTCTTCCATTTTTTAAATAAATATATTGTTTATAGGATCTGCTTTGAGATTAAAATCTGGTTTGGATTCTACTGACAGCTTGGATTCATTGGAAGATAGTAAAGGTTTTTCATCAAAATAAATTTTTTTTTATAATTAGACACCTCAAAATAAACGGGGCGGAGGAAGGAATTCTTTTAAATCAAAATTTTTTATATTTAAAAACTAAATATATTTACCCCTAATTACATAATATATGGTTGGGTTGTTTTTATTGGTTATTTTGTAAAGTGGATATAATTTTATAATTTTCCTTCTATTATGCAGAAGGAGCAATTAAAATATATATTTGATATTTTTAACAATTTCTCTTTCTCCGATGTATAATTAAAAAAAATATGGAGAGAAAAAAGAAAGAAAGAAAAAAGAAAGATAGAAAAAAAGAAAGAAAGAAAGAAAGAAAGAAAGAAAGAAAGAAAGAAAGAAAGAAAGAAAGAAAGAAAGAAAGAAAGAAAGAAAGAAAGAAAGAAAGAAAGAAAGAAAGAAAGAAAGAAAGAAAGAAAGAAAGGATAGTAGAACCTAGTAAGTAGTCATAAGCAGAAAGAAAGTTAAAAATGGCCCAATTTTACTAACTTTTTGTTTTAAATTTTCGAGTTAAAATGGTTTTAATTACCGCCAAAATTTGGAAATGCCCATAAAACGAAGACATTTTTCTATTGAATGAGAGATATATTTTAAATTATTATTAAATTTTAAGCTTTTACGTAGATATTTTATATAAAGGGGGGGGGGGGGGGGGTAACCAAATGATTCCATATTTAATATATTTTAATACTTAAAAGAAACCCTCCCTCACTTGTTATCCTAATCCTATGATGAGAGAATAATAAAATCATTCATTTATTTTTAACGCGTATAATAAGTGTGTTTTAGGCATTATTCATTGTCGTTGTTTCTTAACTTTTAGGGAATAAATTCAACCAATTTATAGTTGAATTCTATTCAGGGTTTAAAGAACCCAAAATTTGAGTCATTTAAAATTTTGAACTCGATTTTACCCAATCGAATTTCTGCAAGGGGAACCAATCAGAGAATAGCCATGGTTTTACGACGTTTTCCACAAATCAGGTCCCTGTTTTGGCTCTCTGTGTGTTCTCAAAACTTTCTAAAGGGCGAAGGTTTTGAAATATTAAATATTAAGGGGTGGCCTAGTGGTGTATGATGTATTAAACCGAAGGTCCCAGGTTCAATCATGGTAAGGAGCTAAAAATTTTCGGGTTTTTCTTAGATGACGGATTTGTACAGACATATGATACGATAATTTTCTGAGCTGAGAAATGTCACCCGGTTACCGGCAGTGGACAGCCGGGTGCGCTAGGATATTTGTTCGAAACCAAATAAGATGGCCAGCTGAACTCGTGGGTCATTCAAGGATGATAACGATCTCTTGGCCAGCGCTAGGATAATGGTGACCTCGGGGGGCGTTCAGGCACAATGTATACCAAGCTACAATGGACTTGATAACGATAATCCGGTGGGAGATCAATCGGGATTGATCCCCGGTGGGAGATTATTACAATGGATTTGATAAGACTCCAGTGTACTCCGGGTGGGATATCTGTCGATATTGATGCTTTGGTGTGAGGAATACGTGGAATATCTATCGATATTCATAGTGTGAGACCAAGATATAATGGCCTCGATAACGATACTTCGGTGGGAGATCCAAATGAAATCGATCAGAGATATAAAAATAGATAGAATGAGTAATAAAGTTGAGAGAGATTGAAGGAGCTTACCACCAGAAAAGGTGAAAGCTAAAAGGAAAAAAATATATTGAAACATGTGGTTTGATTTAAATAATATATTTTCTCCAACTCCCCGCATGTCATTAATCACCTTTTCCCCAAGCATTAAGACACGGACACCATCTGAGTGTATTAAGAAGCCAATCTATTTCATTTTTTTTGTCGCTGTATCTCCAGCTCCGCGTAAAAAATCCCGCTCACTAGGCGGCACAGAAGAAGCTTGAGCGCCTAAATAATGTATCTCCAGAGAAAAAATTATTATTTTTATTCCTCATATGTAATTATTATATATTTCAAACATATATATATTTATTTGAAAGATTTAATGGGGAATAAACAATTTGGCTGGGGAGGAGACCGTTTCGATGATGAAGATGATCAAAATAATTGTGAATATACAGAACCCGACCCTAATTGGTTTAAAGAATAAAATATAAATTTTACCATAATTTTATATTTGAAAATACATAATACACACACACAAAAATTTAACCTTTTTGAAATGGGTATTAAATTTTAAATTATTTTTGGAAAAGTTTTGGTTATATAAATAATTTGATATATTTTTTTTTGTTTTTAAAACGAAAATTGTTCCAAAAAATTATTTCAATTATATTTTGTGATTTTTATAATGGTTTTTTTTTATTATTTCAATTATATTTTGTGTATAATGGTTTTTTTTTATTATTTTACATTATTTTTGGTTATTTTAAAATATTGATACATTGGTGGTTTTAGAAAACTGATCTGACTTTTATGTTTAATTTGTGGGTAAAATAAAAATCGGTTAAAAATTAGATTTTCACGACTAATTGAAGTATTGTAAATAGGGGAATATAATCACCAGAGTTGTGAAAAAATCTATATACAAGTATCTAGATCCTCTATCTAGATATAAAAATGTGGTATCTGTATCTGTAACTAGATAGATTTTCGATTAAAATATCTGTATCTAGATATCATTTTAGACGATGTATCTGTATCTAGATCAATTTAAAAATTATTTTTTAACAACTCTGTTAATCACTAATAATTTTCTAATTTTAATATAATATTATAAAACCAATTGGAAAGGGATGATTAGTATCATTTGTGAAATACTTATTATCTTTCCAGCTTTAAGTCAATTTCCCATGTTCCATCTTTATTTTATGAACAGAATACGATCATTGTATATTTTTTTATGCAGTATATTTTTCAAATATTCGTTTTCTATGGTGTTTAAAAAAAATTTCTTATCTGTTCTCTCCAAAATTTTTATCTTCCCCTCCCTCCCAAATGAGTGAACGCTAGAATCGAGCCTGCCCCACCCCTTCCCCACCCCTCATAACTTCTAGAATATGTTGGAAATCCTGACATTATGATATGCAGACTCACTTATTTCTGCTATCTATGACAATTATCGTTCCTTAATTAATAATATCGAATCTATACCTAAGCCATAATAAACAAACTTTAAATTTAAATAAGTATACAATTTCTCTGATATTCAATCTCCAGATGGAACTTGTTTTTAAGCTCCGACTTCGACGTTTCGGATAAAGTTTAACGACGTTTCAAATCCCTTACTTTTATAAGTAGGTATCTATGTAATTATAAAATTTACATACAAAACTATAGTGTCGCATTATCAAATGACTGAGTGATAAAGTGTCACATTATAAACTGTCACATGACAAAGTGTCACATGATAAAGTGTAGCCGTGATAAAATGTCACTAGCTGATGTTATATATAAAAATTATAATTAAAATATAATTATTTTGAAAACCTATTAAAAATTTTTTAAAAAAAATTACTATGGAAACAAAAGTTTATAAGCCAGTAATCTGGCGCGAATGATAAGCATTCTTTAAGATCGCCGGATGGCACTGAAATCTTATTTCCTATCGATTTTTAAAAGATGAGGCCTTCATATCCTAAATTACCAAGTGTCGTGGTGAACATAGGGATGCTTATTTCCAAATGAAATAAAAGAAGAGAAAAAAAAATATAAATAAAGAATAGAATAGATTAGATTAGAAAGAAGAAAAAAGAATATATATTTAGAAAGAAGTAATTTTTTTATTAAAAAAATGAAAAAATAAAACTTTTAATGATTATTGGGAAATTAAAAGCTATTGTAATTGAGTTTTATAATTTCCGTTTTATTTTTATTCTTTTATTTTTTTAAAATAAAATATATTTTGCGAAATCAATAAAATTACATATACAAATCGATCTTAATAGGATCTAAATAAAATTGCAAAATAAAAAAATAGAAAAATAAAATTAAAATCTAAAAAAAAAAAATGATATTTTTTCTGAGTCAAAACGTTCTGATCTACTTAGCATTCTTAGCATTCGAGATGAGAGGTTAAAAAAAATATATATATAAAATAAGATAATCGCTTAATAAATTGAGCATTTTAGCGTTTCAACATTGTGTCTCTTTGTTTAAATTAAATGTAGTGTTGTTAAACAGCTGATCTGAGCCGATTTTTAAAAATGGCTAACTCAATATTTTAGCCAGAGAAAATATTGTCTATGCCTCGTGATTTCGTTAATAGATATTCGAGCCTCTTTGTGCTATCTATTAGCAAAAAAAAATCTTAGGGCTTTGCATTAATATTTTTCTGGATGAAAATATTGAGTAAAAAAATGTCAAATAAAATAATATTTAGAGAAGAAGAAAAAATAAAATAAAAAACACAAATTGATACCACTCCCGTTTTTCATTAATCTTAAAAAAAACAAAATTGTTTAATCAATTCAAAAAAAAAACATTATATTGATATGGTGGCTAATCAACATAAATTAATTTGTTTAAACGACGACCAAATTTTGTTAAACAGCTGGCAAATTTTTATTTTAAATGAGATTAAGACCCCATTTTTTTATTTTAATGTACATTAACGGGAATCACGTGGTCATTTCCGATATTCTCCAATAGCATGGAGCCACCTAGTCATCAGATATAAAGCCCTGTCCTTGCTGGATTCGAACGCGGATTTTTATGGTAGGCGATATACCCGCTCACCGACCTGGTGACGGATGCTAACTAGAAAAAGACCACATTAGCTAATCCACCATTTAAACAAATATCACGTGATAAATCAATAAATTTCAAATCAATTAATTCATCATTATAACTTTTTAATAATATTTACATTATTTAAAATAAAATACAAAAAATGGAACACCCCAATTTATTTAGGCACATAAAATATTCTTCGAAAATTCAATAATTTCTATAAAAAAAAAATTGCTGCTTTCTGCGATATTTTGAAAAGATCTAACACTTGCTTACTAAACTGTTAGACATCAGATGTAATCCGTCTATGAATCATTTTGTCCGTGATTATTTTTTGACCAGCGTCTTATTGTCCGGGGTATACCTTTGCGTTTTTTTTGCCCAGGATGTTTATGTCGGCGAGTTCATGTAATGTTCTCTAGATTATTCCTAATTAATTAGCCATTTCCGAATTATTGTCACGATAAGGTCATTCTATTTAAAATAAATAATACACTTAAACTATACTTAAATTTTAATTAGGGTTACAAACATATGTGCGTATTCAGGCGATACGCGTCATATCTCACAAAATGGAATCCAAATTCGTAGGGTAAGGTCAAAATACATTTTTCGAGAATGCGGAATTCAAAAAAAAGAACGCTGCGAATAAATTAGTTTAAAGTTGGTAAATAGGACACGCATTTTTTGAAAGCGTAATTTGAAAAAAAAAATCTAAATATTTATCCTAAAACTTTGGACAATTTAAATGTCACCCTTTGAGGTCATTTTAGATTTATATACCGGACAATACTGATATTAATTTGATTGACATGTAACATATCTCTTCATGTGAGAATTAGGTTATTCTATATTAACATTTTATAATGATATTTTTTTTTTATAATTATTACAATTCTATCTACATTCGATACAAGAAGGTTTTTAACAATCTTATTGAAAATAATAAAATTACAAAAAGTGGAGATGGAATATTTTAATTCTCAAATAGCAATATATAGCTCCAACCATTATCTGTTATAAAAAAAAATGGAATCAGTCGAAGAAATTCAAAACATCCCGAAGAACAAGAGCGACGTAAATGCTACCCCGAAAAATTATTCTAACGCTTCGTCATTACGTTTATTCATCGAAAAACGCCAAGCCGTTATAACGAGTTTAACCACCACAAACACGGTCCTTTCCTCCGCCAAACCCGGCAAGTTAGAGTGTTATATATGCGATGCCACTTTCAAAGTGGATTCCGATCTCGATGATTCCTGTTTTATTAATGCCAGTTCCGGAAATTTGATCACTTGCACGGATAAAAGCAAATTTTGTCAAGTAACAACAATGATAAATAGAAATTGACACTCCTGGTGGGTTGAAATTGTCTCAGATATAAAACATATAATATTAGGCAAGAGGGAATAGTGTGATGTAGGGAAAGCAAAATAGCTCCATATGAGCAAGCTCTTTTTTTAAAAAAAATGGCTGACTCAATTATTTTTATCCAGAAAAATATTGTCACCTAGATCTCGAGATTTCACTAACAGCTGTTCCAAACCTTTGTGCCATCTATGACCAAAAATCTTCGGGCATCTTGCGTAATATTTTTCTGCATAAAAATATCGAGTTAGCCATTTTGTTTTTTAAAGAAGTCGGCTTAAATGGGACGATTTTGCAACACTAGTATAATAGGTGATTGTGCCCTTATTTAAAATTATTTATGAAGGGATATTTAACTCTTTAATACAACAATTTTATAGTTGAAGGTTCTGCAAATGGCAAATCTTTTAGTTGACCTAGTGTTGTTAAATTATATAATTTTGACCATCTCTATTGTGTTTTAGCCGAGCTTTTAGATTGGAAGCCTCAACTTGAAAATTGATTAGAATATTTCTGGATAAAAATATGGGCACGCTGTCTTATAGTTGACTAAAGATAGGTAGTTTAACAACACTAAGTCGATCTCTAAGGCAAAAATTTAGTATTTTTTTTCTAATGTTGAAAGCCATAAAGTTTAATCCAGCATATTTTGTATAATACACATTATATATTATACAGAATTTCCATAAAATAAAGGTTCAAAGGGTAGAACTAAATAGGGTTATATCCAAGATATCTAGGTCTTGCACCGATACATGTAAATTCGGTTGCGCGCTAAATGGGTACGGGGTTACCTACAAGACCTGCACTTCCTGCTGCAATATTTCGGGTTGCAATGTCGACAACGCGTCTACGCCAGGTTATCGTGTCGGAAAACCTAATTACTTATCCCCTCGTCACATCCTAGTTCTTATATTAGCTTTTGATGTATATTTTTTGTGTGACATTGTAAATTTATTATGTCCCCTCCTAAAATTATTTGACTGCGGCGAATCTCATTGTAAATAAAATGAACCTTTAAAAAATTTTTTATTTATATTTTGGATCACGCATTTTACATTACAAATTTCGTTCATTATATATATGTCGTATTGGGATTCGGAATCTCTTGATTTTAAATCTCCAGAGTTGCTAAAGGATCTAGTAGATATAAAAATGTGGTATCTGTATCTAGATATTATTTTAGACGATGTATCTGTATCTAGATCCATTTAAAAAGGATCTTTTAACAACTCTGTAAATCTCTTACCGAGAGCGATTTAAAAAAATTTTAAAGTTCGATTAAACCGGAAATGTATTCTAAACATGTGTTAGAGTAACCCAAACCGTAAATTTCAAACAATTTTGCCACGAACTTTAGAAACCACTTCTAATTTATAGTAATTTTTATATGGATTTTTCGTATAAATTAAAAAAAAATACTAAAATGTCTATAGCCGAAATTGGCTGAAATTTTTAGGGTAAATCCTCTACACATGCTGCAATACAATTCCTGTAAAATCAGATTTTTAAAATCCAAAAATCGCCCTTAGTAAATGATTTAAAATTGAGAAGATTCCGAATCCCCATACGACATATATATAAAGATATTTGTTTACTATGTTCTGTGGCCTCAGTTATAATCATAGATAGAACAGAAATTTATTGAATTCTCATCCTAATCGGGTTAGCTATAAACTATCTATTTGTATTTAGCCGACGCAGCTTTATAACCTTTTGAAAAAAAATATCATTATTGTAAAATTATTTTACTGTAAAACGAACGTAAGATAATCTTTTCCTCTTTCTCCTACTGCAAAAAAAAATATATATATAACAATCTTTATTTCTTGGTTACTTCTCGTTATTACAGTTACTTTCAACATCAAAAAAATAATCGAATATGAGCTACAGTTACATTTAAAACACTAGAAAGTAACTAGCTTTGGTTATGTTAGGTTTTTATAAAAAAAATTGATTGTCACTTCTTTTTCCCTCAAAGATGCCTTTTATTTTTTCTCAAAATTTTGATTTGTTCAAATAATTTACTATTTTATTTGATCGGTTTTAAAGGAATCGAAAAACTAATACTAACGCTATTCGATCCGTTTTGAATAAGGACTCACGTATCGTTAAGCTCGAAATAAGGGCTAGCGGATTTTGAATTGATAGTCGATAAAATATGTATTTGTTGTTTTTTTTTCCTTCAGGAGTTAAAAAAAACAAACAAGAGGAACTTTATTGTTTGAAAGTATTTCGTTGAATTATTATCTTATAAGTATAGATCCGAATATCACAAATAATAATTTTTGATAAAAAAAAAATTACGTGCTATAATAAAAAAAAGACCCAACTTTAAAGAGTGATTTATAGAAGCGTTAAAAAAAGAATATTTAGCCAACCCCCTTCCACTCCCCGCATATAGGTTGGCTGATTCTTTAGTGATTTTCTAAAAATGTATAAATAATAGTTTTAAGTATTTACAAAGCTATATGATATTCTCCGATTGGCCAAAAAAAAGGGAAATTTGAAATTTTTAAAAATGTAGATTTTTAAAAAAAATGGCGGATACGTAGTATACACTGCATAGTAAATTTTTATGCACAATTTTTTTTTTTTTAAAAAAATATAAATTATCGTATATAATAATTTTCATGATTTATAATAATATATAAATATACGCGAATTTTTTTTAAAAAAAAACGAAATTATAGACGGCAATCGTGCATTTATTTTTTTTAAGCAGATGGGGTGCTGAATTTTATTGGCTGCTGCCTTAATCACGTGATTGATAAACGACCAATTTTTGACAACTTTAAACACCCCCCCCCCCAACACTTTCCCGCATCTTAACGAGAAAGGTAGTGGTGGGAGAAGCGCAACTGTAGATATAAAATGCGTTTTTTTGGGTTATTAAATTTTTTCCTTTTAAATGCTTCGAGAACTTTAGTGTTTTTTTTTAAATATGGACATTATCTTTATGTTCATCTAAATAATTATCTATAATAAAGGGGGGTAGGTATTAACCCTTTTTTTAAAAAAAAATCAAAGTGTATGTATGTGTCAATCGGAGAAAGAAACATTTTCCCTTGAGGATTCGCAGGAAGTAGAGGTGCAAGAAGGGGAAGTAAAATCGTAGAATTGCTCGTTTCCCGCAGCTTGACAACGCGCGTCTAATTACGAAAAATGAACGAATAAATGAATACAAAGCAGTTTAAACCAATAATTAGTAACATTTCTCAGCTTTAACTATAAACAATATATAAGCGCTTTATCTTACTTTCTTTAACTCTTCTTTTATTTAGAAAGAAAAGAAAAGAAAGAAAAGAAAGAAAGAAATTTTACTAACGATACTTATTATTTTTTTTAAAAAAATGAACAGATCCAAGCTTGTACCTACCTAGATCATTTCCGTCGCCATCTTTTCGGGGTGTTTTGGGGTCATAAATGACTCCCAAACTGCGACCCCTGGCCATCTTGTAATGGTGGAGGCCAGGAAGAATATTCATGGAATTTCTGGAAAAATTTTGGAAGGCTTGTTTCGAGCTTCGAGAATATCGCTTCGGGAAAAAATTAATCCCCGAGCCCGATTCGACGTTCGTTAGAGGGAGATACGAGCAAAGCGGGTAAGTCAGCGAATGGTACTTGCGAATATTGTTATTTTGAACCGACTTTGGCGGCGTTTCGGGAGGTTTAACGATCAAAAATGTTTTGTCGATATTCGATTCGCGGTTTGGGAAATCGCGATTTTGGTCGAACCTCGAAATTCGGAGACGATTCGAGTTGGGGGTTAAACTTTTGCGAGTAGCGAATTTATTTTGGTTGGAAGTTGTGGGACTTTTGTCGATAAATCAATTTATTTTTTTAAATTAACTGGCTATTTTTCTTTTCTTTTCGAAACCGTAAATTATATTTTACAGTTCAATGTCGCACTTTTCGAATATAATGGGGTTCGGTCAGTTCTATCGGTTTCGAATGGAGACGAAAGTAAATATATACGAGTTGGGGTTGTTTTGGTCCAGTCTAATTTACATAAATTCCTAAGGTTTCTTAAGGGTTCAGCTTTTTAGAGAACTTTCAACAAAAAAAAAAGAAAGGAAAGAGTACATGCGATTTGGATTTTGGACACCATTCTACGCGTTTGAACAGCTGATAGAGTTTATTAAATTTTTTACAAATAGGATTCATTTGTTTTCTTAGTTAATTAATTTTACCTTGCATCCAAATCCTGATGATAATTTAGGAATATAATTAATATAAGTTTTATAAAATAAATGGTATTCCAATATATTGGTTGGCGTCAGGAAGGTGTCAATCCGATTTTTCAAAAAAAAAATAGGCAGCTTCGATTTTTCTATTCCTAAGACAAGAGAGTGGTTATAGCTATCCTTAAGGCGAACCATCAAAGTTTCAGATGGCAGTTCTTCTCTGAACAGATCTTCGCTAGAATTACTCTTTACTATCCTTATTCTCTACATTTTTTACGCTATATTTTGTGTTGTATATGAAAAGTTATATAAAACCACATAAACTCGTAAAAAAAAATAAAATAAATGGTTTATATGTATTCTCAGAACACCCGAGAAAAATAAATAAATGATTGGCATTAACATAATCTAAAATTTAAAAAAAAAAAAATTGTACTCACTCGAGAGAATAGCGGCCATTTATCGCCATACTATTTACAAACGAATTGACGTCATCGATCAAAGTATTTTGGCGTTGAATGTCGCGTATCGAGAAGCCACGTGATACGTTACGATCTTTGTCCGCCTTTTCATCGAGCCTAGGGGAACTAGCGCTAGGCCTTTGTTGAATCTCGAGAAAGGATAAAGAAAAAAAAAATAAATTAAGTTTCCATTCTTGGATAAATTCCTCTCACTATCCACCACAAGCACGCATTTTTTTTTTAAGTAATATATATTTCAGCCGGAGCGAGAATCCCCTAAAAAATGTGGCTATCGTCCGCTGTATTTCACCCGAGTTTCTAACTAACCCGTTAAAAATATTAAAAATTTGAAATGATAGTTCGTTCGCGAACCGAGAAAATTGTGTAAAAAAGCCCAATTAGGGGTGGACATGATACCTCTTAAGCAGCAGTCAACATTGAAGCCTAAAAAAATGTTACCGGAAGTTAGTGGTTGTTAAATAGCCCGATTAGGATCGTGTTGCTAAAAATAAAACTATGTAAAAGTTTCGAGATTTTGGCAAATAGGAATTCCAAACATTTTCTGTCCATCCACGATAAAAAAAAAAAAAATTCTCGTAGACTTACATGAATATTAATTTTTTTTTTCTTTGGCGTAAAATCTTTAATCGCGCCGTTTTCGATAAATCGGCGAGAATCGGTCTTTTTAACAAGGCCAAACAGAAGAGCCTGGAGATTTTGTTTCCAAGGAATCAGTGAAAATCGTAGGCCCCTACCTTGTTGGACAGTTTTAAGATGATTAATAGCGCAAAAACCTTCTCTGCATCTTCCTAAAAAGAGAAGAAGCTAACATCGGTATGGAACACCATTCATTTCTAGAAGATCCTCTTTACAATCAAATTTAAAGGGTGTCAGAAAGGTTGTCTGTCCCGTGGTTACAAAAATCTTCTACGAAATCATCCTAAAAAGGGAAGACGTTAACACCAGTATTGGAAACTATTCATTTCTAGAAGATCCTCCTTACAAACAAATTTGAAGGGCGCCAAAAGGTTGTCCCATCTGTTTAACGAATTCTCGAAGCTGACATAGTATTAATTTAGCTAAAAATCTTATTTTAAAATTTGGTGAAATCGAGCCGCTTAACAGCATTACAGGTCAGAGAGTTCTCGGGAAAACGTCGAATAAAATTCTTTTTTTTAGAAAAAATTATTTTCCTCGGGAGCTTATAATTTGCCATTTCGCTGAAAATTTCATACTCGCTCAAATGTCCCCAATTTAAAAATAAAAAATTCGGGCTTCTGCCTTTATTTGTAAATATATTACTCGGAACTGATTGGTCGGGCCAAAATCGAGGTCCGATGCCAGGTTCCATAATATATATATATAGAAGTAATGTAGTAGTAGTAGTAGTAAATACCTCTTCGACCGTATCGTAAAACACTTCGGTAGATTTTTCGGCGCCGATTTTATCCTCCGAAGTCGATTTGGCGGGAAAAACGTAAAGGGGACCGCGAACCCTATCGGGGTAGTCGTAATAGGGTTCGTGAAGATTCATTTTTATAGAGTAATCTTTTCGCACAAAAAAAAATATGTAATTATAAATATTCCAATTCCTATTTTTTTTAATACAGCTGTCCTGTTATAGGGAATTTTATCTATCCACTAGGAAGAGAAAAAGAAGCAAAAAAACGAAATATTACTTTAACTTAGAAAAAGAACAAACACGTACAATAAAATACGGTAAATTACCAGGTTAGCCGATACTTCTTAATAGTTATCGTTGCAAAAAAATGTATCTTAGAAAATTGTTTCATTTTTCCCAAAAACTTTGATCAAAAAAAATCCCGTTTTAAAACTAGTAATGTTAATAAGCCCGATTTACATTTTAGCCAACATAATATAATGCAAGTCTAGAAGAATTTGCTCAATAAATTACCAGGTTAGCCGATACTTCTTAATAGTTATCGTTACAAAAATGTATCTTAGAAAATTGTTTCATTTTTCCCAAAAACTTAGATCAAAAAAAATCCCGTTTTAAAACTAGTAATGTTAATAAGCCCGATTTACATTTTAGCCAACATAATATAATGCAATCCTAGAAGAATTTGCTCAATAAATTACCAGGTTAGCCGATACTTCTTAATAGTTATCGTTACAAAAAAATGTATCTTAGAAAATTGATTATGTTAATAAGCCCGATTTACATTTTAGCCAACATAATATAATGCAAGCCTAGAAGAATTTGCTCACATAAGTGGCAGAAAGGGTTTGGAACACCTATTCGTCAAATCTCGATGCCCTACATTATATTATTTTCTCGGGGCTAAAACCTTACTTGGGCGTTTTTTAAAAAATCGTAACCAATTTTAAAGGTATTTTCAACACTAGCTTAGAAAAATCCTCAGAGGATGATATAATCTTTGAAGATTTTATTTTAATTTTGAAGAGCATTTCTACGAGGAAGCCGATCCCCCAAAATGATAATGAATTTTCATCAATTAGGCATTTCGGTATTCGACTAAAAAAAAAATGGACGTATCGATTAGAAAATATAAAAATATGCGTTACACTCGTTCTCGTTTGTAGCTTCATCCCCACCTTTCCCAGCACGAGAAAACGGGGAACCATTAGGGTCCTTGTCACATTTTCGCCCTCTGCGACCTCGAAAATTGTCGTCTACCAGACGCTGACAAGCCGAAGGCCCGTTCAGGGCTTCTATAAGGGGCACGGTCTCGAAGCCACGGGGCAAATTACCCCGGCCAACTTTGTGGGATAACGTGGTTCGGGGTCTGTGTTTTGGCTTGGCGTCGCGTTCATCCCCCGTGGCGGGATTAAGGGGCGTCTGAAAGTTGGTGGTGGTATAAAGGGGGGGCTCACCCGAGCAAATGGTGTTCTCGTGTTCTTTAGAGTTTAATTCGATGCCGTCGCGGTTATTAAACCTCGTTTCTTTTATATCCGAGTATATGCGATTCAATTCTAATTTGCCAGCGTTACGGTGTCCGCCGGTTTGAAACCGTATTTCCGGAAATGGTTTTTTCTTGAACCCAATTTTCCCGATTCGGCCAACACCTGATTCGCGTTCTTCGGGAGTAGCGTACGCGATATCGATAGAATTACTAGTAGTCGGATTTTTGCCGCCGACAAATTCATTAGGACTACCTGGCCGGTTTTTTATATTCGATTGAACTTTTTCGTTTAGTTTTGTCTTGCTTCCTCCCGGCCTGAGACTTTGGTAAACCGGTTCGATATCCGATTTCCCGTCGTTATTTTTATCGGCTAATCCCAGATATCGGCCATCTATTTTATCCGAGCGAATTTTGTCGCGAGCTGAATTTTTTCGAATCTCTTTAAGGTCAGCCATTTTTGCGGCGGTTATTTTTCTCATGACCTCGCATCTCAAGAGCGCTTTAAACGGGATTCTACAGACCGGACAATTACCGTCTTGAAACCTGTTTTAGCGGAATACAAGAAAATACATTTGAAAGATGGGATTTGAACCCGTTTTATCATTTTTTGCCCCGGTTCGGGTTCAATAAAATAGGTTCGCGAACCCTGCGAAGTACGCTCGAAATCGGGAGGGTAAGCAAAATATGCTATAATATTCTATCAAATCACTCACTTACGATGAATTAGTAAAGCTAATTTAAGTGACGAAAAATATCTTTTCGTGATTTGGGACCGTTATAATAATCTGGGAACATATATATATATTTTTTTTGTTTGCTTAATTCAAAGAAATTAAAATAATATTGTATTGGGGTATCTCTGAGAGAGAGAAAAACTATCAAGGAATTGCCAGCAAGATTAAGTATAAAAATGATTGGAAGTGGTAATGCGAAGAAATAAAACTAAGATGGCTTTGGGCATATGTAAAGTAAGACAAACGATGACTGGGTAAAGAGAAGCATTTTTATGGAAGTAGGAGGTTCAAGACCTAAAGGAAGGATCAAAATTACGTGGATAAATGTAATAGAGGCGGGTATGAGAAAAACGAATCTTACAAGTATTGATGCTCAGGACCGTCAAAAATGGAAAAGAAAAATCGGAGGGGAAAACTGGCCAGCCTGGGTAAACCTGGAAATAGCCATTGAACCGAGAAGTTGAAAGTGAGCAAAAAAAATATGTATATATATATACATACACCTAATAAATCGTGATTATTGAAAAAATAGGACATTTTAAATTGGCGCTAAAATTCAGAAAGGTACGTGTCTCATTAGCTAATGCGAAATTTTATCATTATTTCAAATTGGGGAATAGAATAAAAATTCGCGATAAGATAGGCCGCTCACAAATCGCAATAAGTGTCCCATGCCCATCTTTTAAAAAAAATTATGAGGGCATTTTTTTTTCCTTACAAAATCTTTATAGGTACACTTAAAATAAAAGGATTATTTTCAAATTATATTTTGACATTTTTACAGTTGCTATGGAAGTACAGGAAATAATGCATTTGGCAAAAAAAAAGAAGTAAATAGAACATTATAATATTCAAACTGACGTTATTTTGGGGCAGGAAATCAAAATCCCTCTTTCCTTTGAGCTAAATTAAAAATCGGTTAAGCTAACATGCCAAAAAAAATGCTTATAAAAGAGTAATAAAACTTAAAAGCATTTATTTATTTTATAAAAAAAACCTTAGCACTGTCGCGCATGCGTGGCACAAACAAAGATGACGGCAAGGCAAAAGTAGGGTATCACGTGCCCTCGACAAGCAAACCACGCAATCCGATTGGTCTACTTGACAAGAGTCATCTTCGGAAGAGGAGCAAGAGACCGGACCGGGTGCCGTTTCACATTTTGAGTCTGATACTGGTTGGCAACGATCACTATCCAATATCGTTATAGCAACAGGTGAAGATACCGGTATTAAACTAGGGACCGATTTGTACTCCGAATTCAAATCAGATATCGATTTTGAAACGGATAACGGGTGCGAAAGTTTGTCGTCCAGTCGAGTCAGCGGAAAAGGGGCGGACACCTCTTTTAAATTCGGATTCGAGGAGTTAACTGATGGGTTTTTAATCTGTTATAAAGTAGGTAAAAATGTAATATTTAACATCAACCAATGCGATTTTGAAGAAAAAATTGGTTTTAATACCAATGTGGTAAAAATTTGTAAAAATGCGAGGTGGGGGGGGGGGGGGTGTCAGAAATCTTATCGTGTCCGTCCAGACCAAAGCCTGGGAAAAACATCCCGGGAAAAGTGCATAAATGTTCGCGAACATTTTTTTTTATAGGAGGAACCGGACAAATTTCGCGGGCTGGATCAAATCAGGATAAAATATTCACGGGTTGCGCTGAAGAAAAAAAAGCCCTGTCGATCTCTAATATGTGGGCCTCTTCTTTAGAATCGAAATTATTGCAGACATTTCTTACTGACACTAAAAACTCTCATAAAAAAATGGTAAAATTTGAACGCCATCAAATTTGAGAAATAGCAGATAGAACGTTTTAAATAATTCTTGAGCCGATTTTTAAAAACGGCTAACTCGATATTTTAGCCAGAAAAATATTGCCCAAGACTCAAAATTTCGCTAATAGATGTCAAAATCTTTGTTCCTTCTACAACAAAAATCTTGAGGCTTAGGCAATATTTTTCTGGCTAAAATATTGAGTTAGCCGTTTTTAAAATCGGCTCAAAACGAGCTGTTTAACACTAGTTTTGAAGAAATTTGCCAAAAATAAGATATAACGAAGTTTGACTCCAAATTATAAATGTCTTACTGCTAGTATCTATTAAATTTTAGGTTCTACCAGTCGAGTATTATCAGAATCGGATAACGGTTTAGAAAGCTGATCGAATAACGGTTTAGAAAGTTGATCGAATACCGGTTTTGAATTTTTCGAATAAGAAAACGAAGGCTCATCTGCCTTTAGTTGATAATAAAAATATGTTATATTAAAAATTCAAAAAAAAAATAATTAAAATTTAATAAAAGAAATTAACCGGATTATAGGCCAGACCGGGTATTTGAGTCATGTCGCTTAATACTGCCTCGGATAACGGATTTGAAACCGGGTTAAGGGATTCTTCGGGTACATGGGAGGTAGTAATGGGAGTAGATGTCTAAGAATAATAACGGAGATTATTTTATTATTAAGGTCGTGTCCCTGGTTCATGAAATTTTCTAGACACTTAGTCTGTTTTGACCGGCTATATAGCTTCACTCTAAAAAGCCTAAAAACAATAAAAGGGGGCCATTTTGATTTACGTTAACGTTAAGGCGTCTTTGCGGACAAGAAAAAATATATAAATAGCCAATAGTATTTATTTAACGTACCGCACTTAAAACTAACCAAAATAAGGGTGTCCTTGGTTCAAAAATGGGTTTAAGCTTGGGCTAAACCGAAAATAAGTATTCGAAAATAGGTGGAACCAATGGACGCGGCCTAAGTGTGCTTAAAATTCAAGAGAAAATTTTGCAAAAGTTATTATTTAAATTTACTCATTAAACTCACTTATATTTTCCTTACACGGAGAGAACGAGAAACAGAGGGCGGATGGAGAGGGGGGGGGGCTATTTTTTTTTAAAGAATTACTCACGCACTTTCGATAATTTTGTTTATACTTCCGGTTTTCGAATGCAAACCGATTTCATAAAGTATCATTTTCTTTTGGTGATGTTGTTCAATTTTTTGTATATTTATAATTTTAATAAAATAGGGTGCAAAGTAAAATACTTATATTCACAGATACATTTGTATAAGGGTAATATAATATACATCACGTGGTTACACTTTCTCAAAATTAACCTATTAATATTTTTCGAACGATTAAAGAAATCGAATTTATTTTTCCGATGGTCAACGGGGAAAGGTTTAGCCAAGACATTTAATATTCATATTCAATAACGCCAATCTGTTTTTTCTTCCCTAGTGAACCTCTTTTTTCCCGGGCGATTCCGTGACGTCATCGTTGGCCATTTTGTTTTCGATCCCGTAAATTTCTTGGATCAGGAAGCACAAGCCGTCCGATATGAGTTTCTGTTTGAGAGGTTTGAGAACGTAACCGCCCGTAGTTCGGTCTCGACTCGTTTCTATGGTAGCTAAAGTCACGTGGATTTGACGGTTCATATCTTTTATTTTTGTAAAATGAAATTCTCATTTCCGTTTTCATTTAATATGCATTTTTATTTTCCTTTCTTTCATTCCCCTTTCCGTATTTATAAAAAAATTTGCAGACTTACCGGGTTCTCTAGTCACACAACAAATAACCACCGGATATTTGACGGAATTTGGCTTATCGTCGTTACCCTGAGCATTTTTATCCTTTGATTTAGCATCTTTCACGTTCAAATTGGCGCTTATTGATGGCGGCAAATCCCTTTCCATCAGCTTGGACATCTTGATGTAAGTGTCGTTGTCGCAAGTTTCGATGGTTTCTTGAAACGTACCGCCTGAATACGATGAAAAAATTTTTTTAAAAAAATGAGTGACATGTGGAGAATATTTTTTTTTTCTTTCCTTTTCTTTTTCTTTCCTTTTCTTTTTTCTTATTTTCAAAGATAAAAATAAAATTACAGTTATCGAAATATTTAGAGAATAAAAAAAAAATATAACAAATAATTTCCATATGGATTATTATTTAGAAATAAATATTATTAAATTCTCTGTAAAAAAAAAATCAGAGTTTCAAGGAAGACTTCTTGAAGGATCTGAAGATTTTTCTTTCTCGTTCTGCACAAGATTTTGAGCAATTATAAAAATATTTTTAGGAAACTAACTTAAAATTTTACAAATTTTGTTCAAATGAAATCATGAAAATATTTTTTTTTACACAAATCGCTCAAAAAAAATGTCTTCCTTTTTCTTATCCATTATGGCATCTCAAATATCGAATGTCAAACTCTGGGTATACAAACTGACACCTGCCATCAAAAGGGTAAACCACGTCAAATAATTCCATCATAATTTATATACATATATAACAATTTTTTTCTGCACCTTTATCATTCGGCGCGGTGCTTTTATTTGAAGTCACGGTGTTGGAAGCATAAGAGCAGGATCCTGTCTTGTGAAATGGAACGACGACATTTTGAGGGGACAAAAAAGTCGTGGTCTTATATAGGGCTTTTTGGTTAGGGAAAACGGTGCCCATGTTGTAAGAGTAACGCCTTTTGGTAGGATTAATAGTAACGGCAGTAGAGCTTTTACCAGGCATAGTGCCACTCAAACTTGATTTGACATCCGTCATGGGTTGTCCAGAGATATCGATATTATTAACCTTATTACGGGAATGTAGAATCTTATTTATAATCATAAAATCAAGCGTATTTACCTCAGGAGTATTGTGGCTCATATTAACCCCGGTAGAATCAGTGTTCAGTGAATTGTTCGTGTTTGTCCTACGAAAAAGATTGTTGAATTTGTTCAAGTTTTGTAGACCTTTAAAATTGAGCGGAGACAATAGGGATGATGAGGTGTGGGTAGACCTGGATGAGTTATCATATTTGCCAGAAGCGGTTCCCGGATTGGCCTGAGAGGCGTGACGATGGCAATGACGGTGTTTACGGTGTTTGTGCTGGCTTTCGAGAAGGATAGCTGGGTCCACAACGTGGGATGTTTGGCAGAAAATCTGGCCCGAACCGGATTCGTAATTATACGTGGGGGACTTCATAGTTTTGTCATCTAGCGTATAACTTTTTTGGGTTAGGTTTAAATAAATCACTATTATTATATATATATATTGTTTTATATCCACTTTTTTTTTCATGCCAATCATTTTATTTATTACTTTTATATTTCAATAAATTTTTAAAAATGTAACACAAAAAAAATGTCATACGTGAACTTAATTATTTATTTTGACCAAGTTTCCTATTCTTCGCACCTTTGTACATTGAGCATCATTATAATCGAGAGAACTAATGATGAGAAATCAAACTCAATTTTGAACCGAGCTTCAAAAAGTGCCAACTCAATATTTTTTTTAGCCAGAAAAAAAAAATAATGCCAAAAGTCTCGTTACGCTGATAGATGTTTCTAGCCTTCGTACCCACTATGAGAAAAAAAAATTTCTAGAACTTGCGTAATATTTTTTTTTCTCTATAAAATACTGAGTTGCCCATTTCATGAATAGACCTCGCAATCACTTATACAAGATAAGCATTAGGAATCTTCTAGAATAAAACCACCACAAATTATATACCTCGTGGATCACTTTTCGACTATATTATTGATTTCTTTCGTGTTTTTTAGTGGAGAAATAAATTTTAAAGAAATATAATTATCGTATTAAATTTTGGATTACATTAATTAACCTCACATTTAACAACAAATACGGGTATATTCACCGATACCTTTTTTTATTAGATCACGAGGTGTTTCTGAGGATGAACCGATCCGACCCCTCTAGCGATTCCCCATGTAGTGGGTGGCATTCTACCCCGTACTGATATGTCCCGATAAATCAAAAATCAAAGGATTAAAAACTTCTTTTTTTAAAAAAAGAATGACTTTATAACCGGGATTCGTAACAAGGCCATCTTTTTTTTTTGGTTCTGTTCCGTTCCAGCACTTCTAAAATTAATTATGAACTATCGGTACCAATCACTAGTGAAGGTGGTCATAATCCCGAAGGTAACTCAAGGATCCCTTTTCATCCATTTATACTTCGTATCTATTTTCACTCCATTATATTATCTTTAATTTTATTTTATAATCAGGGCTGCGTTCAAATCAAAATATCTGTCCTAAATATAATTCCAGGAAATTTTAAAAATTTCCGAATTTTTTTTAAAAAAAAAAGATTTAGGACATGACTCTAATAAAAAAAAATTAAAAAGGTTAATATCCATTTTTCTAAGAGGTATTTGGAATTGAAGCAAGGGACATTAAGTCTTAATTATGGTAAGCGTTAAATACCGCGATGACGCTCAAGCGATTGAGTGATATATAAAATAAATGGATAATATTAAATTCATAGGTACGCTATGGCTTAAAAATGAATTACGCGCCGTGCGGCTTAAGCAATAACGCGGTACGCGCTCACCATAAATGAGGTCTTAATGGGCAGGGCATACTTAATTTTTATATATTATATATAGACAACAGTTTCATACATTGATAAACGTTGTATTGTCTTATCTGTCTTATGTCTATTTATTATCATGATAAAATTATTTATATGGATGCTATGGACTCTTTTCTCTAACCAATCCCAAACCCAAGGCATATTTTTATGGATTTTAGTCATTTTTAAAAGCAAAAATCTATTTTCAATATGAAATCAAAACATTTTTGAAGATTCTTACAAAAAAATTAATGTTTTTTTGTGTGTTTCATTCCAAATGTATTTATAAGGATATCTCTTTCGGTTTACAAAATAAACTAATAATTTCTAATCATTTAAGTTATGGGGTAGTTTGCTAGTAATTTCTATGGACAGAACCTGGATCAAAATAAGATCTAGGTTTTGGTCGGTCTGGGCAAACCACATTATATAAAAAATTACAAATCTAGACCTATAATAAACCCTATGAAAATTTTGTGAGATCCGTATCCCTGATTAATAGGGAATATATATTATTTAATAAGCTTCTGGGTTTCATGAAAGAAATGAATAAAATAAAAATTACGCCAGAAAAGAAATGTAATAAAATAATGAAAATATTTTATTTTAAACCAATCCCAAATTTAGTCTGGACAAGACTGTCACTAAAAAAACAGCTTAATACTAAGAGTATTGAAAAGAAAATTGGTCTACGTATTGGTATTACTTAATTGGAGGTGATAGGACTAGACCACATTTCTTTTGAGATTAAAATATTTATTCCCCTTTTCATAATGAAAATTCTGGACCTCCACCCATTCACATGTATCTCAAAAATAAATATTTAAAAAAAACTAATTCTAAAAGTCAGTGGTAGAATACTTACATAAGTTTCCCTGAGGCAAAATTTTCTCTTGCAAAGTAGTAAATGGTTATTGCTATCTTAACATCAGCATCAAATATAAATTCTATACAATATTTTGGAGAATCATTACAAATATCTGTGTTATGATCTAGTTCATTTGTTTTCATTCTATTTTATAGTTTATATATATTTAAATGATAAATAAAATATATATAACTAACCTTATAAATTTTAATGTGTCTTTCCTGATATGTACAAGACTCGTCAATGTTCTGACAGGTTCAAACCACATAGGTGCTTTATAAGGAAACTAATAATTATACAATAATAATATTGAAAAGAAGTTATATTTACAAGCATAGGTGGACCAAGATATTTCAAATCTGTTAAATCGCCAAATAAAAATGTCTCAGGATAGGTTCTTTCAAATTTATGACCTCCCATTATAAAATATGGTGCAAAATATGTATCTTAATTAATATAAATAAATTAGCCAACATATATATATCAAATTTTTATTTTACTTTTGTTAGCATGATTTTGAGATCTAAGTTTAGTATCACGAAATCCAGCTTCAGGATTTAAAAATGGACTCAATATATTTAAAAGCCAACTATTCTGAATTCCTAACCAATTACCCATAGCATAGGTATTGAATATATATATGTGACCTGTGTTCACTCTTTTTGTTATTTGCCATATATGGATAGAATCATCCACATATGATTATGGTTCGAGGTGTTAAACAGATTATAAAAAAATAATAACTATTTTCATGTTGTTAAGTTGTTATATATTATATTAATTCCTTATTTTTCAAAGTCAATTATAACAAGTTTGGAGGATATATTTTTTGTACTATTTATTGTTTAAATAACTAAAAGTTTAATATTAACGTAAAAACATATTAAATTACTAGAGGCTAATGTTGTTAAACGGCTGGGCCGATTTCTGGAAATGGATGGTTTAAGATTTTAGTCAAAATATTATCACGGGGATTTTGCTTACAGGTGGCAGAAAGGTTTGAACCACTATTTACAAATCTCGAGACTTACATTATTTAATTTTTGCTAAGATTTTAATCAAGCCGTTTTTTAAAATCAACTAAATCGGGCCGTTTAACAAGACGACTAGCTGCAGATTGGGCCAAATATTTATCGCCATCCTGAAAAAGGCCCATATAGGTTTCTATACAGGGGGTACGAATTAGTCTTATCGAAATTTCGAGGTGGTATAATCAGAACCATAATCGATATTTCTCTATAAAAATAGGGAGAGCACGTTAAAATGGAAAAAAAAGAGATAAACTTTTTTGATAAAATTTGAGATTAATTATTGGGAAACATATTATATAATTTAAAAGAGATATCATCATTATTATGTATGTTCGGTATCTATCGAACCCTAATCTAGGACAAAAATAATTTTGTTCAGATATCTTAGTAATAGGGGTTCCTTAATTCAACAGAAAAAAATTTCTGAGCGATTTAGTATTCCTTCTGAGAAATTCAATAAAAAAATCAAATTTTTATTTTCAAAATTGTCTTTAATTTTAAGATAAATATCTGTATAAATCCTTAGCTATAAGTCCAAGCGTTACAGCTTTTATTCTGAGGGAAATAATATAAGTCTTTTAGAATTAGATTTTATAACATTTTAAGCAACCATATGAAATGTCTAAGACTGGCATGATTGGAGCCTTATCATGTTTAATTAAACAAAAATATTTGAAAATTGATAAGAAAATGAAATTCAAAGCTCCACCAAATCAATTAAATCCTATTAAGTTCCGATGGCCTCTACTTTTTTTCTGATCAAAATTTTTTTTATATAAATTTTAACTACCTAATTTAAAGCAAATGTTTTAAAAAATGCTCCGATTAGGACGTGTCCCATGGGGATTCGTAATCTTTCAATATTAAATCATTCTTTGAGAACGATTTTCATATTATAATAATCTGATTTGCCGGGAAATTATTCCAAAAAGTGTATAGTATCCACGTTCTAAACTTCAAATGAATGTCAACTAATGAAACGGTAGAACTAAAATATGATGCTAAATCTTTATTAAATACTTAAATATAAAGTGAAAACGTAATCAAAATAAAAGAAAAATAAAATTAATATAAATTAAAATTAAAAATTATGTTCGCAATTTCATAATAATAATTAACAAGTAAAATATCCTCGATTATATATACTTTCTATCCTATTCATTTACATCGTCTTTACTCAAATTATCTAATAATTCGTTTCATTTCTTTAACAATCGATTTGAATATTACTTCTTTTTTCTCGATTTTATTTCAAAGTAAATTTAGACATTACAACAAACTTATTAATTTTTATAAAGATTTATCATATAAATTCAAAGTGTTGTATTTGGCTATATTTGAGTAATATAATTAAAAGATCATTTTATTATAATAATATATAAAATTTCATATTAAGAATTTTATAATATAAAAAAATTACATTTTAAGAATCAACTAATTACTTTGTATCTATAAATTCGCTCTATTTATATCAACATTTCATATATTATTCCTTGAGCGTTAATTTAGGTCAAAAAAATGGTTAATATTAATTTAACTTAAATTATTTGAACAATAAAAAATAATATAAATTATAAAAAGTAACAATTTAACTTCAAAATAAAATGGAAATACAACCTTAGGAAAAATTGAATTAATAAATAGAAAACAACACAACACCGCCATTAACACAAAATTACATCATAATGTTGCTGTAGATTTGTTTGAAATTATCAATAAAGGGGGGGGGGGGGGTACTCTTACACATGCTGTAATACATTTTTTGGTTAAATAAAATTTATCGGAATTAAAAATTTAATCTCAGTAAATGATTTAAAATTAAGATATTCCTAATCGCAAATAGTTTTTCCATAACCCCAGTTAGTCTGACATATGGTTAATACATTATTTATGTTTTAATTTTTAAGTAAGAAAAATAATATATGGGTTGTATAGCATAGATGACGTCGTTTGTAAGAGAGAGAGAGAGAGCAATATAATTTATATTTAAATTTTTTATTATATTTTTATAATCCAAAGATATGTGTCCGGCTCAATGACATATATAATACCTAGACTGACGATTCATTCATTAAAATGCATCTTTAAGCGTCGTTAAAAGCAAATCAGCTGGGCCCGCCATTTTGGTAACACATATAGTAATTATTCTCATGTTAAAAACTACTATTAAATTGGTAACTTGCTTCCTTATTATCTCGATGATCCGGTAATTCTTTAATACAGTTTGCATCAGATATAGGAATAAATTAGGCTCTCGTTTAAAATTTTAATAATGATTAGTGTAACCAAGATGGCATCTCCAGCTGATTTGCAATGATGTACACTTTTAATGAATGAATCGTCAGTCTAGGTATTATATATGTCATTGGTCCGGCTCAAGTTTTTTTTAAACATTTCTCCAGGTGCCTATCATGATTAGTAACGGGATTGAGCTTGGCTTGAGCTACTAAATTGAACAATCAGATTCTGAGAGCTCATTACAATTTAACCAGAGATTTCTAAATAACCATTATATTCAATGACATAATGATATTTATTTAGACTCACGAGTCGGTTGTTAAAATGCATTTCGAAGCGTCATTTTAGAATTCCATACAAGAGTTTTATAAAAAAAAAAATTTTACAAGAAAAACCAATATGGTGTCACCAGCTGATTTCTTATTGATATAACTTGATTTTTCCAATTGGTATTATATGTCATTGAATGCTCCCTATAATTTTTAGTTTGATAAAAAAGTAAGCATATAAATTTACATAAGGAAACCAAAAATGGCATGTCAATAAATGAGTTGCATTGATTTGATATACATATTTAAATTAATATATCTTCAATATGGGTGACGCAGTATTCAATACAATTTTTCTTATATCTAGATTTTGACCGACAAAAGCTTCAAATGGTATCAAGCCCTTAACCTCCATGTGTTATTTTTTTTTTAAAAAAAATAAAAAACATAATTATTGTTTTTAATTACAATTCTAGAAATATCATGTTATTTAACATTTTATTTTTTTATGAAATCTTTTTGACATTTTGGACCATTCATTTGCATTTATAAATAAATATCATGAAATTATATTTTTTGTGGTCTCAAAAGTTAAGGATTAAAATCCTATATCTATTTTTTTTTAAACTTATGCCTTAATTAAAATTTATTTTTCCCTTCCCGGATGAGATTGGAAGATTTAGCACATGATTCTATCCAAAAATTCATTTATATTCTCAAGATTTATTCTTATCTTCTACTTGTTATTCTTAAGGAAAGGTTATTAAAAAGAGTGCCTTCTAAAGCTATAAAAAAAAATTGGGCTTATTTTATTTTATTTTATTTTCTTAATTGATTTATTTAAAGCTATCGAAATCACAACTGATTTTTCATAGCGTTAACAATTATTGTAATAATATATCCAACCATATGTTTTTCGAATTTTATCTTATCATTACGCTCCATATTTATAAATTGTAATTATTTATTTGCTTAACATTTTTAATAACGCTGCGTTAAATAACGCAATGCGTGGACATACCGCGTTTATAGCTATATTGTTTCGGCTTATTTTCAGAGTTTGAAAAAAAAAAAATAGTTTTTAAAGATCTTTAGAAGAATTTTTCCGCCATAAATTTTGAGCGAATAAACTTTGAAGATCATAAAGTTGGAAATTTATTTTTATCATACATTTATTTTAAGCATAAAAATCACATAAAAGATTTACTTTTTTAAAAAAATTGAGCATTCTCGAAAACAATTAGAAATTGTTGAAGATCTTTCTATTCCCAAAGAAAATTTCAAATACTGATTTTACTTTTTAGAGGACCCTTAAATTCTTATATTCTCTTTCATCTAGGAGTACAAACATACACTGACTGTTCCGACTCCTGCCTCCCACCTTACAAATACGAAAACGATAAAATCTGTTATCATATAGGACTTGAGAAGATGAGTTTCCAAAATGCTATAGTATATTGCGATCATCGCCAGGGCGAGTTGTACAGATTTGACGACACTGAAATCAATGTAATTAACATTAAATAACTATTTCTTAACGGGAAATTTTTAAAATTCAATTGTGACCATTTTTAAAAATTACTGAAGAAAAAAAATTATAATATTTTAAATGATGGTATTAGATTCTTTGCGCTTGCGCGGTATAAGGATTTATAATTTTACTGGCTAAATTATTATCAAATTATCTTTAATTTGGGAGGTTTAAATTATATAAATATATATATATTTTGCTAAGATCCTGTTGTTGTTTTAAATTGGATATTTAATCTTTTAAAGATATCTGTCATTTTACTAAATGGATGTGTTATTTAATCATATTCCATTATGACAAAAAACGTCGAATATGGTATATCCAATGACATATAATAAAATTTAGATTGACTATGCATTCATAATAATGGCATTTGAAAGCGTTGTTAAACGCAAATCAGCTGGACCCGCCATTTAGGTAACCTTTATCCTACCTGCTTCCTAATTATCGGCAATTCTTTAATAAAGTTTGCATCAGATATAATAGGAATAAGTTGGTCTCTCTTTTAAAATGTTTAATAATGATATGGATAACCAAAATGGCGTCCCCAGCTGTTTTTCATTGATGTAAGCTTTTAATGAATGCATCGTCAGTCTAGATATTATTATATACCATTGAGTATAACTAACTCTAACCCATGTATGGCCTATTTTTGAAGAAATGAATTTTAAAAAAATGTGGATTCTATCCGAACCTGAAAGAGTCGTTAAATCGGTATTAACCAATAATCACAGAACAGTTGAGAATGATCGATAAATATTAGTCTAGCTATTTTTCGATATTATAACGTATTATTAAATCGTCGCCTAATTTGACTCAAGTTACAGGTTCGTGGTCAATTTTTTTTGGTGCTTATTGTAATAGACCTGAGCTCAATCCAGTAGTCCGAAATCTTACTTATTTTTTTATATCAAGCCAACCCCGAATTTTTAGTTTAAATAAAATTAAAAATTACTTCTTATGGTCTTTCAGATTTTGTTATTTAAACCCAAGCTCCGATTTTCTTTTGAAAAATTATTAATGCCCTTAAACTAGTGTTGTTAAACGGCTCGATTTGAGTCGATTTTTAAAAACGGCTAACTAAATATTTTATCTAGAATAATAATACGCAAGCCTGAATATTTGGCTCACAGATGGCACAAAGGTCTAGACATCGATTAGCGAAATCTCGAGACTTGGGCAATATTTTTCTGGCTAAATCATTGAGTTAGCCGTTTTTAAAAATCGGCTTAAAACTTAACAACCCCCCTTCCTTAAACTCTACTTGCAAGGTGGGCTTATAATATATATTATATTAAATTCTATTGTTTTCTGATATTAAAATACCATACTTTGGCGTTGTCATTATTAGTTTCTTTCAAATTTGAGCAGCTATATTTTTAAAAACAAAACCCTATTCCAAATTGATGGTTTTCGGCTAAAAACTCGGATTAGCCAATTTGCTAAAAACATAGTAATTACCCAATTATAGTTATTATGCACCTTAAGAATTTTAACCTTGTATAGTATATATATATATATATCTTCTATTGAAGATTATAGGGATTAGCTTATAGAACCAGAATATTCGATAGTGATTTTATTATATGGTAGTAAATTAATGTAAAGTTAAAATCGATATATTATCAATATTATTGATCTTTATATATATATAAGTAATTTTGTTTTTCTTGTTAACATGAAAGTAAATTTTATGTTTTTTATATTATAACAAAAATATCGCCTCAGAACAGTAAAAATATAAATATTTTAAATATAAATTGAACATATTCATATCACAACAAAGATAAATGGGTTTCAATATTTACTTGCCAAAAATTGTCTTTAACGGCTTAAAAGATAGTAAATGCAATCCTAATAATTTTAACATTGTATAGTATTTATATATAAATTTGTTTTATTGAAGTTAAATGGGTTTCAATAATTACTTTTTACTTGAATCATTTCCTTTTATTAAATGTATCCTCTTATTTAGAGTTACATATCAAGTGTGAATGGTGCAAACCTGTGGGTAGGCTTCCAACGATATCTGGAGAACAATTCTGTTGTCGTTAAGGACTTGAAGGGAAAATTTGTAACGCGTTGTTTAATAAATACCACTTGCACCCACCAGTATTATCAACATCCAATGTAAGCTAAAGGAAGATAAATATTAATGGAATATTTCTTTATTCCTTATCAACACTTAAACCGTCCTAGAATTATTTGGGAAGGTTTAGCATGATTAAAAAGTTCTCAAAATGTATCTCCTAACATTAAATAAGTTTTAAAAATTTGGTTTTTGATTATGTTGTAATTATCTAAATTTGTGTTTACGAAACAATAGTATAATCTCTCGGAAATTTTTAACTCATTTCTTGGTCTTATTTCTATTATTTGTAAGTATAACCCTAAATTCACAGTTAGCGCCTATTAGCGGCGAATTATATTTATACAAATTTAGCGGCAGGGAATACAAAAATACACAGCATATGGGGTATGCTCCTCTTGCGACATATGTTACACTTGTTCACTCCTTTTTTAGTGTTTTTTTTAATTCATGATCAATTTGTTAGTTTATAATTATAGGGAGGGATTAATGACAAGTCAATACAACCTAGAAAATTTATTTATTTATACATGTATCAATGCGAAACCGCACTTGACACGCCACTTTGGTTTTCCTCGGTAAGATGATAGAATTAGAAAAACTTACAGGGGAAAAATCAAAATGGTGAGTCACCAGCTGATTTCTATTCATCGCACTTCAAAATATTTTCTTTTAAATGATATTCGTTTAGGTCAGAATATTATGATTGACATATTTTATAATATATATATTATTATTTAAATTGTTTAAACAAGGAAATGGCACAAAGAAACGATATTAGATCCCCAAAAGAAATGCGTCGTCAGAACAGGACAAAATTTTAGCGGTTCCCTCTGTGATTCTGGGTATCCTTTGTGCCTCAAAGCTAAATGCAGTATATCAAATACAAGAAAAAATATGTTTTTTGGAAATCTAAGTTTCTTCTTTACTCGGTAACACTTATCTAGTTCAGAAAAGGCGAGAAATTTATTTTCTCTAAAATTCATGACCTTGAATTCATTCCAAAATCATGATAAGAAATAATTCTATCTGAAGTGGCTAGGCAGGATATAATAAACTTAGAAACCATTCTTCATAGTATCTTATTATTCACCAATCATTTACCTCTTTGATAAACCAATAAATTTCAGCAAAAGTCGGCTTGAACAAACTCCTGAGCCGGCTCGAGCCAGCCGAATCATATGGCTTAATGGCCTGTTTGATTCTGCGATTTTTCGGCTTAATTTGGCTAAGTTTAGGGCTAAACCGGCTTAGATCAGCTGTCAACACTACTCTTTACATAAAGATTAGCCTTTATATTTGAACGAGCTAAGCTTCTTTTATCATATACAGCTGATACGTTCTAGCATGTTAGTTACAGATCTCATTCGACCACATTCACTCAAATTTGTAAGTTCTTCCTTTAAACCTCTTATACTTCCATTTCTAAAACATGTTATTTGTTTAACCATCATTCACGTTTGCCTTGCGATGGATCATGGCGTGCTTATAGATGCGGAGATTAATTAAGGATCTTCTCAAAACAACTTTTATGTATAAACTTTTTTATATTGGCATTTTTTAATTGCCGAATTAGAAAATAATAAAGTCTACGATTAATAATTTCTATCCTCAATAGTATTAATTTGTTAATAATATTACACTATGATTCATAATTGTTAAAATGAAATTGGTGAATAAACAGCTTGGAATATGAATTAATCATTATTAAAAACAGTTTGCATTAATGCTACTTTATTTTCTATATTTGCGATCCCTTTTAATAGACATTCAAAAATTAATTGCAGATATACATCATCTTTTTTTCTTTCTTTCTTTCTTTCTTTCTTTCAAGGAATTTCGTAAATCCCCGATACATTACCCTGTCGATTTTTTAAAAAAAATATATAATTTTTTTGATAAGATATAAAATCCGGAGGTGCATGTAAACACGATAAAGAATGCGCGTCAAATAATTGTTTTCAAGACACCTGTCAATGTAAGATGGCCTCGAAACTTAAAAATGGCGTATGTGTCTTGGATGGTAAACACAAAATATTTTTTTTAAATATTACATTTATTTCTAATCATTTAAAACGGATAATTTTTCAATATTTTACCATTTTACGCTTATACTTTACTTATCACTTTTCAGAGTAAGGTAGGAATGTTTTAAATAAGTTGAGTATAATATGAACGTGATTGCTGTGCCAAATTTCTATTTTTTTTAGGTTTCGCAAATCGCTCAAAATAAAAAATCTTCAGATATTTTGCCTTCAAATGCTCACTAAATTCGAGTTTTGTCAACCTTTAAAAAAATATAAAATTCAAATAATAGTTTCGATTTGGTTTGCTTTCTTTTTAATATAAATGAAATATGAACTAAACGTTCAGATCAACCATGCAACGAGAATATAACGTGCAAACAAAAATTGGGCAATCTTAGCTATTGTAACGTCAATCAAAGTCAATGCGAATGTTCTAGTCCTTACATTATTGTCAATCAGGATTGCGTGAAAGGTTATAATTTATCATTTTATTATTAACTCCTTCTATTTCTTTCGTAAAAGATTATTGAAAAAATATATATATGCTCTTAGAAAGACTCATTGGGAATAGATGCTTGAATCATAGCGAATGCGTACACAAACAGTGTAGATCCAGATGTCAATGTCCTACTGGAACCTTTTTCGATCAAACTATATGTTCCGAAGGTCTTTTCTTTTCTTTTATTTTCTCTCTTTCTTATCTTTTCTTTGTTTCTTTTCCAAGAAACCGTAAAAAAATAAATTGGAAATGGGTATGCTAGAAAAATAAATTCGTGATAACGGAGCGCGGCGCGCGACTTTGTGATTTAAAAATATTGTAATATTAAAGATTAAAAAAAAAAATTAAAAAATTAACTGAATTATCCTCCCGCGCGGTCAATCAATGTCTAGGCCTGCCTTGGATAGACATATTAACTCGGTTAGATTGGGGCATTATTTTGTAATTTATTTCTGACGGGAACTAGAACCTCTTACAATTTTAATTAATTTGTTTTTTTTAGTAATATTTGAGGGGATGGGGGGGGGGGGAGGTTGGGGGATAAAAAACAGATTAAAAAACATATAAAACAAAAATTAAAGAAACAAATTTTTAATGTAAAAAAGGGGGTTAAAAACAAAACAGAATATGCTTAAAAATTATTTTAACCAAATTTCTTCAAAAAATTTTAATAAAATTTCCTAATAAAAAAATAAAAGATTTGCGATTAAATATTTTTTTTATTATTTATTAGGCAGGCGCTTTAACGAATCTTGTTCAAACAACGAACAGTGTGAGGCGTTCAACGTGCGGAGTACTTGTGATTCGTCTAGCGGTGTTTGCAAATGCAAAGATGGTCATGACCGTTCTATAGGGGACAAATGCGGGATAGCTAGTAAGTGTTAGGTATTATCGTTATTTAAAAAATCCGCTAAGGAAGAAAAGGGAAGATTTTAAAAAAAAATAGGTGCAAAGAAAAAAAAAATTCGAACCTCCTATATATCCTTCCTCGAGGTATGAAGTAAAAAAAAATTTAAGAGTGGGAAGGGGGGTGAGTTATATAGGTGGTGTTACTTTTGGTTATTTTTCCATTGCCGTGAAGAATTTTATTGCACTCTCTTAAAGGTACACATAATTTGAAGCGGTTTTGTTTCGCGTTAAACGGGTAGCGTGCAGCAAATCGATATGCTCTTATTTTTGCATTAAAAAATTTCAAAAGTTTGTATGTTTAACTCCACTTCAATTTTCTTTTCCAAGGAAACATTAAAACCTTGTTAGGGTAAATAGCATTAGTGCACCCATCGGCCATATATTAACTACACCAGATATCGGCCCAGTATCGATCAATATTACGGATGTAGGATACTAGATACTGATATCAAATTTTTCAAAAATGAATTTCCCAATCTCCATTTTCAACAAAAAAAAATTATTTTTGATTATTAATTTAATACCATAGAAAAATGCCTTTCAATTTCAAATTAACCCTCTCAAAGTCGTAAAATTTCTTGTCTTTTTGCATTTATTAATATATTTAATTTTCAGCAGAAACATTTTTATAAGGAACAAAACAAAAATTTGGAATTCTTGTCTGGTTTAAAAAAAAAATTTGTCGATCAATTTCTCTGCCGTTGATGTAGATCATTATTTTACCCAAAACTTATGAGGATTAATTATTATTTGTGGGTTAATATAGAAAGGCCTCATCCGTGGCCTGCACCTCTGACGCATAGCAAGTGGCAAAGGAATCTACCCCAACCCGGTAGGGCCCAAACGGGCTACGAACCGCACAGGGTCTATTTTTTTGAAAATAAACGGGTTTGTGCTGGGTCGGGCCTAATATTTTTTAACAGAATTCGGGCCGGGTCGGGTTCTTAAATTTGCAAAATAAAAATATTTGATTCTATTCATAGAAACTAGACCACATATAACATTATATCGTTTATTTTGAGTAATTTAAAAAAATTAATTTTCTAGATTTAAATAAATTCAGGCCGGTCCGGGCAGGTAAATTTTTTCAAAAAAAAATTTCGGGTTCGGGCCCGGTTTTAAAAATTAGACTCGATGCGGATCACTAAAAGGAATGTAATCACGATATCGCAAACAAATGCATTTATTCCTAACCTTCAATTCATAGTAACGCGATTGCGATCGCGATTTAACAGCTGACAGTTTTTTATATTTCTTAGATTATTGTAATTGAATTATTGATAAAATTGATATTAATAAATCCATCAGCTGTTAAATCGAATCGCGCCACTACGAATTTAAGGTAAGACGTAGACTAATTTTCCTTTTAATTTTTTTGGGGGAAAAAATAAAAAACTATATTCAAGAAGAACACATTTATTGCCTGGTGTCGGTACGTATGTATTACGATGATTTGCAGGCGTTCGTTAACTTGACAGGATATCAAAAGATGTTGATGACCAGAGATCTGGAAGATAAGGTTTGACTGATGAAACTTCGATGATATATTCGTTATACAAATATGTATTTGTTGTTTTCCCTTTTATCTTTTACTACCATGGGCACTCGTAGAATGGAGGGGTGGGGAGATGGCGGGGTTGGGGGGGGGGGGGTGATGGTGTTTAAACCACATTCATTCATTCATTTGATTTGAACAGAAGCTTAATTTCGTGAAAAATTATTTCCGTAAAATAAAAGAAGAAAAAATTGGATAGATGCAATGCAAATCACGTATACTGAATTGCAGACGAAATCCTTGATACATGAGTACATGAAGCAAATACCCCAGGGAGTAATACGTAATGCTCCCTTTAATAAATAGGTATTGTATACGCGATAATATTCAGTAGCGTGGCCAGGATTTTTCCACAGAGTAAGGGTGGGGGGGAGTTTAAATTTCCTATAAAAGATATTATTTATAATTGATTTTTCCGAGGTTGTATTTACATATCATTTCCGTAAAAGTTGGCTGAACAATCGGAAGTACTGATTTCTAAAATATGCAATATTATTATGCTTAATTACTGTCTAACTTTAAAAGATTTAAGTAATCAGGATAAATAAAAAAATTTATAAGCAACAAAATTTTGGCCACAACCTTACGATTTAAAAAAGCGACTCTAAATCATTATTCTGGAAAATTTTAGAGAAAAAAAAATTGGGCATTTAGCTTGAATGGAAAATATATATATATTAAACTATATAACTGGAGTACGCTACTATTTCTACCTGACCAGTACCTACACTCCTTATAAGACGGCACGCGTTACGTGTGAAGTTAGCCAAGTTTTTTAGAAAAATCTTGAAACCTTACACCAAACCCTTAAGTAGGGATTTATTATAGCATTTTTTATAGGTTTATTCTGTTTGGTAGATGGTTTAAAGAATATTTGGCAAATAATAAAAAAATGCCTAAAATTAGCATCATGTCAGAACGTAGAATACAGAAGTTTTAGCCTTTACCTATTAATTCTTAAACTAATTTCGCCAGCCAAAAAAGTGACCGAATTATGTACAGATGGAAACTATAAAGATAAGGAAGCATTAGCTCCGATATTTATGTCGATAATTAAATTATCATGTAATTAAGACGTTTTAGTAACTGCTTCGACCCGTTTGGTAGATTATTAAAAGAAAAATGTTTGATATAGTAAACAAGTTTTTCTTATTCTTTTATTTTGTAATGTAAAATCAAAATCAGCCTTTATTAGATAAATTAATCTCAAAATATATAATAATGATAAAAATAATCATTTTACAAAAAATAACAAAAAACAAACACCAATTTAATACACATGATTTATCCCCAGTCGATCTGGTTTCGATCGTGTCCTTTTGGGATATCGATCTTGACTTGTTTCTTCCTCCCTCTCCTTTGAATTCATTTCACGTTATTTTTTTGTTTACTGTCTCTTTGTTTACTATCTCTTTGTTTACTATCTCTTTGTTTACTATTTCTTTGTTTACTATCTCTTTGTTTACTATCTCTTTGTTTACTATCTCTTCGGTTTTCTCTTCTACTTCAGTACTCTCTTCAAATTCGTATTCTTCAATTAATGCATTTTCGGTTCTTTTCCTTAATTGGTCCGTATAACGTATAATCGAATTAACCGCTATACTTATTTGATAACATTGTAATCCGAGTATGCCTTCAATAATGGCTTCTTCCCATTTTTTTTCTTTATTATTGTAAGGGCACGACCAAGCTTTTTCATTTATCTGAAATTTTTGATTGTGGTATTCAAACTTCTCCTTTTTTCCCTGTTCGAAAATTTGTTCTAACAATCCTCTAGGTTTAAATTTTAGTAGTATTTCAGCGGGACACTGTTCAGTTTCTGTTCATGGTGTATTTCTGTAATTGTGGAGAAAAATAGCTAGGCTGGTTTCTAAATCCCTCTCGTTTCTTCTATTCATACTCTATTTAAAAGCTCGAACTAAACGTTCGGCCATGTTTGTCTGAGGATGGTAAGAACTTCCGTGCACTAATTGAAACCTGTTTTTTTCATAAAAATCATTGAAATATTTGTTGCTGAATTGGGGTCCGTTATCAGAAACGATTATTTTGGGAGATCCGAATCTTGCAAAAATATTTCTTAATATTTTTATCGTGCTTTCGGTTGTAGTGCTAGTCATGGGCATTTCTGGCCAGCGACTGCTAGCATCTATCACTACCAACCAATAATGATTTTAAAATGGTCCAGCATAATCAATATGTACTCGGTGCCATGCTTTTGGTGGTTTTGGCTAATTTTGAATTGCTGTCTTTTGAGGCATATCATGTTGTACCTAGCATTCTCTATATTTTTCGACCCAGGTTTCTATATCTTGGTTTTTATTAGGCCACCACGCGTATTGTCGTGCTCTCATCTTCATTTTTACCTTTCCGATATGTCCTTGATGTATCATGTTCAACACGTTGTTTCGGATTGTTGTGGTATTATCATTTTTGTTCTCCACAATAAACAACCTCTCTCAGTTGTAATTCCTCTCCCCTTTGGCTATACTCCTTTAAACATGCATCATAGTTTATTGGAGTATCCATCTATTGTATATCTGTATACTTTAGAAAGTATATCATCTCGCATTGTTTATCTTTCAAATTAGCTTGCATTTAAAGGTGTTTCTCCCACTTGTATTTGATCTAGCGCTTCTTCTTTTGATATTGAAAGTTCCCTTTAGGGAATTTCTAGAGAGCATGTCAGCATTTGCTATTTGTGTACTACTTTTGACTTCTATCTCATATTGATAACCGGCTAATAATAAACCCCACCTTTGTATTCGGGCAGATCATGTTGTGGGTAAATCTCTTATTGGATGAAATAAAACCATTAATGACTTGTGATCTGTTTGTAATTAAAATTTTTTCCCATATATAAATTCTTTGAATTTTGTAACCCCGAATATCAATTTAGCTATAATTTTTTTCAGCTGCATTTAGTGTTCTTGAGGCGAATGCGATTGATCTCTCCTTACGCCCTTCTATATGTGATATTACTGCCCCAATTCCTATAGATGATGCATCTGTTGCTAATATAATGGGTAATTTTGGATCATAATGTTGTAATATTGGAGTACTACTTATTTTTTGCTTTATTTTTTTATACGCATCTTTGCATACATTAGTCCATTTTCAAACAACTGCTTTTC